TTATTTATATTACACACTACAAATTTGTACCATTTATAAATATCAAACATTTATTGCGTAGCTCTGAAGTAATCAAAATATCGATCGATTTAATTTATTTTATGTCTCGAAGAAAGAGGCGCAATCATTAAAAAAGGTGACCATTTAGATTTTTTGCCTGCTGCTTTTACTAATTTAAAAAGGTCATTTAAATACATGCCTTACATAAACCGTAATCTAAAATACTGGGGCCGTATAGCGACATCAAATTCCTAAAGTTAAGATTAATGTAATTTAATCCCTTTATGTTATGAGTTACATTTTACAATAGCTTTATAAAGGCTCTATCTGAAACATGGCGAGAATAAACGTTAAGCAAGGGTGATATATCAAAGGAAAGATCACCGGCCAGCGTGGCGTACCACTCGGCGATTTGTGCCCCATCTAAATGCTAATGTCACTTTCTGGTCACTGTTCCGCTCGTTGCAGGGCTTATAGGATCACATGAACAAATCTGATGAAGACCAAGATGTTACGCGATTTGTAATATTTACGATTTTGTAATTGTATTTCAGACTGTCAATAATATATTCATTTGAAATAAGGATCTGCTTTTGCTGCGACGAAAATTTCTTAATAACATGTACAAATCGTGTAACTTACAATACCAATAAGATTTTTTATTGATACACATGAAGTGACGTGCAATAATTTGTATACAAAATTCAAATTGGATGTTATTATAAAGTACCTTTTGACCTGTAAAAATATTTGGCAACAGTTTCCACCCTAGGCGTTATTACAGACATAGGCCTTATTAGGCCATATCTGCAAAATGACAACTTTTCACAAGAGAGGTTTAAAGACTTCGAACGAAATTAGTCGATAACTTTTTATGCTCAAATAAGAGATAATTTCTATTTATCACAGTATTTCCAAAGTAGTCGGGAGGTTTCCTTCTCAACTCCCATACCATCTCAGCCTTACGCTTAAATAGGAGAGCTATAAAATTTCGTATAATGCATAATGTTTCATGTAGTGCGTATTATATTTATGAATAAAAGCACTTTTAACGTATGATTATGTCTTTATTATACTTCTTGTTTTACCTTTATTCTACATAATTACTTACGCTGAACATTTATAGAAGATTTTACATAGGACATACAACAATCACGTGTTTCTTGCTCGTTATTCTCAGGGAGGTCAGCGTAGTGAACGAGGAGTAGCTCAAAAAATTGCTTTTTCAAGTGTAAAAAATTTACCTATGGAATAAATTATTATTTGACCTTGACTTTGACCTTGACTTTGACTTTGACTTTGACTTTGACTATGTATTAACATGTAGCGAAGTATTCCAGCATAAAAAGCTAATGACTAATTTCATTCGTAGAATCTTTAAACCTCTGTACTGAAAGTTGTCATTTTGCAGATGAAGCCTTATTACACAATAGTGTTACTTGAAGAATGTAGCAATATCATGAAAAAATAGCTTCCTACACAAACGCGAGGTTCGTGTAAAATCATATCATCATAGACAGCAAATATCAATCGTTTTCAGAAGAAAGTAACCGTAATTTGACAAAACAAATTCAGTCAAAAAATGGCTGAGTGAAGGTTGGAGCGAAGAAATCATCGACGATACGATGTTGTCGATGGAAGAAATAGTTTTGTCATAGATGGCGCTACGGCAAAAAAGTCGCTAAACGACCAAAACCAAAGATCTGCTACAATCACATAGAAAAATTATGAAAGTCCGTTGGTTCGTTCCGTGGTTTAGTTGGCATAGCGTCTACTAACCGTGGGGTTTGCAGGAAGACGCTGGTTCGACGCCGGATCGTAGGATTTTTCTTAGTGTTCTGTCTTTATATTCATAATTATAACAAACCAGTGGAGTAATTTCACAAAACAATAATAATATCAGTTCAATACAAATTTAATTACAGTTAATAGCGACATCTCTAGCCAGGGCTGGTAGCTGTAAAATAACCTAGCTGAGTGACGCAATACTTTCATAGATTTCTCGTAGATGGCGACACGGCTAAAAAGTCGTTGAAAACCAAATAGAAAAGATCCGACAACAAGCATATAGAAAAATTCGTTAGGTCCGCAGGTTCATTCCGTGGCTTAGTTGGCATAGCGTCTGGGCACGGTTTGCTATAAGACGTCGGTTCTATATATATAAATATATAAAATATAAAATATAATAAAATGTAGTGGAGTAATTTCACAAAAATAATGGAATATTACGGTAATCAATCGTGACGTTCAATAAGAACTTTAAAAAAACAAATTCAGGTTTCTTTTAATTTGTGTCATTTGTTTGCTTTTGCTGTGATTTTGTTGTATATTTAATTTTTAATTTCTTTTTTTGCTCAGGTGTATGTGCTTGTTAGTTTTTAGATAGCAGAATATCAGCGAGGACTATGTACTATAGCAGAGTCATTGACCCATTTGACATTTTTTTTATTATTGCCACATGCCATATCAAATAATTTTGGTTTTGAGTTCAGTTTATTTCTGTATGTTGTAATGAAATTTAAATTCATCGTTAATACTGTAGAAAAAAAAAATTAATATAGTCCAGCGAGATTGTTAGCATTTTACAAATAAACCTGTATCCCCAATTAAAAAAAATCGAATTTTCTTTTTCCGATGTCTTCACATATGCCACAGGATACAGACATAGGTTACATTTACCTGTCAGATCAGCCATGACACGAAACCCGAAATTAAGTGTCCCCCAACCCTAATATATTGGCCGGATATCTCATACCGCGTGACAGTGTGAATAAATGCTGACTTAGACGAGGGTGTAATGAAAATTTTAACTGGTGAATTGAACCTACAAAAGTCGTGGTCCATGAATTCTATTGGGTAAGAAGACTAGAGAATAATTCCACAAAACAGACAGCAATATAGCCTCTCATTTTTCCGAGCAGCACTGGAACTGTAGCAGTAGTAGTAGGTAGTGTTGTAAAAAAACTGGAGTCAATGGACTCGACTCATAACGACTCGCTGCTCGATGTATTACGAACCTATCGAGTTTCCGAATAGACTCGACATTAGTGTCGCGCTAGACTTCGAATCTGTTTATGTAACGAGTTGAAATAATTATGAGTGGAGGTTTCTTACAAAGGCATGACTTCTTTCGATTTTGTCGATATAAATAGATAACGCGCTCATGGCACCACACTAGGGAAACCCTGTATCACGGATGCCATGGACACACACGAGAGACATAAATGGAGGCATTACAAATATTTGTCTCGGTCCAGGAATCGAACCCGGGAGCTCTGCATGGCAGAGCAGCATGGTAACCGTTCGGCCACGGAGACAATTAGGAGATAGATATTTCGGAAAGGTTACACACTCTATAGTGATAATCATATTCCCAACAAACTGCCTTGGTGGCCGAACAGTTGCCATGCCGCACTGCCACGCAGAGGTCCCGGGTTCGATTCCCGGGCCGGGTGAAATATTTGTATGGCCTACATTTATTTATCTCATGAGTTTGGGTGTAATTTGTGGTTGTCTATGTGTGTGTCCATGGCACTCGCAACACAGGGTTTCCCTAGTGCGGGGCTATGTTGAGTGTGTGCGTTACTTATTTAAAATTACTGAAATTATTTTACGGGTATTTATCCAGTACATGAACCCAAGCAATATTTAATTTACCATGGGGATCCGCCCTTACATCGCGAAATTAAATCAGCTGTTTCATACATTTTCACGTAGCACTTAGGGTTAAACAATGTTAAACAAAGCGGTAAATGAAATTACACTTCCCTGAGAAGAATGAGCAAGAAACTCTAGGGGTTGCTCTTTTCAAATAAGCTTAAATGCTATGGAATACACTTTGAATCAAAGTGTGGAATCTAGAGCCATGTCCTCTTCCCATACGTCTTTATCTAGTCTTCAATTTTGTAATGTGGATTTTCAATTAAAATTCTTTTGATGTAAGTATTAATGCTCCGGAATCTTATTGTGTAACTTATTATTATCCACATTCTCAAATTTTGCTGTAGTTTGGTTTAATGTACCCACTAAACGTGCGCTTAAAATTGTTTCAGTTAATTTTATCAGACCCTGTAATGGAGTAAAATACCAATTTTACTCATCTTTTGGATCAACTGAACCTAACAGTGTTTAATTCGCGAAGTTTAAAATACATCACAAATCTTCTTAAGTTACATTATAATCAGCTGAACGATTACAACTTTTGCATCTGACTTGATAATAGGTGATTAACGTAAAACAAAGAGATAAAGTTTAAAATCTAATTCATAAAACTTTACGATGTTTAGGTAAAACATAAATGATATGCTAGATTTCATAATAAAGGTCCAATTTCAACTTGCGTGAACGTGTGCTCCGTGAGAAAAGATTATAAATACTTATACGTCCAGCCAGATTTCACTTAAAACGATTCCATTATATTCATTAATCATGACATAAATATTTAATTCAAAATATATTACAGAATCTCCTCGGATCTCCGAGATAATATCCAATTAGGATGCCGAACCAGCCAGCCTAATAAACTTTGCGGGGAAGACGAAAAGTAGGCGACAGTGATGAGATACAATCAACAACAAGAGTAATTTGAGAATGGGCCCCTATCTCCGAGCGGAGTTCCACAGCTGAATGCTAAAAAGGCTGCGACAATATATCTAATTGTCCCTAAGGCGCAAAACGATCGCGGCACAATCTCAGCATCGCGCCACGAAAATCAATAGGCACGTCTTCGAGATGACACTTCACTCGTTCCCCACTGAACAGCCGTTTATCTATACAGTGTCCATCTTTGATATATATAATATAGTTTGTTGACAGTGGGTGGGCTGCATCCTTATCAGGCGGTACCGCCAGAACGCCGACTCCGCGCCCCCCTTCCAGTCGATGTCCTACCACGCCCTCGAACTCCTCGCGGATGCTGCGTGGATGGACCACTGATCGTCAGCAAATTCGTCAGTGGGATCTGATACGACACGTGTGTGTAAGGTTATGTAATGACTTACCCGCGAGAGCGAGGTCCCAGTTTGGGCGCCATTTAGCGCGTGGTGGGAGCGTGAAGAAGAAAGATCGCGCGGAGGAGCGAACGCGGCGAAGGGCAGCGCGCGACTGCCGCGGTGGAGCGGGGCGTGTGCGTGTGGAGCTGCGGCGCATGTGCACGCCTACTTGCGATTTGTTTTGAGACTCTTCATATCGGAGGTTCGGAGGCTTGAACAGCCGCAGAAAACGAGATTATGTCCTGGCATAGATACGACACGCGTTGCGGGGAATTCTGATGAGAACCGGCTGAATTTTGTAGCGGCATTGTTGGTTTTTGTAAACGCCGCTTGACATGAATCGCAATTGATGTAGACATGGTTCTCGGGGCCGACTTACCAAATGTAAACAAGTTAAGTTCCCTACTTCTGGAACTACTTTCAAGGTTGTTTTAAGGGCTTTTGTACACTTACGTGCTTTGCAAATGTTTATAATATCTACGTAACTAAAGTTTTTCGATGACATAGTAATTCGAAAAGCACATAATGAACTCTGACTACCGTTTACCTAATCTTATCCACATACTTATAAAGTATATACAACGCGTGAGGTTCGTTGAGTGGTGAACATCAAGTCACGTACGGTGGGCTATGCTAGTGCTTTTATGAATTCGTGCCTCACTCGGCTCACGTCGCCCTCAGCCGGAGCCCGAGTCGATCTAGTCACGTAGTCCTGACATGTAGCTTCTTACTGACTTTAACTATATTAAGTGTAATGTGTTAGTTAAAAAAAATACAGATATAGTACGCAGTATTGTGTAAATAAATGACTGAGATTTTCGAGACAAAAAAAGAATGAGGGATATCAGTATTATGTGTATCCTAAGCCACGTAGGATTATAGTCCAGCCCGATATTGCTCTGGCGTGCCTTTTTTAGGGTAAACCATAATTTAAAAAACTATACTATCATAACGTACGTAACACATATTATAAAAAAAATTCTGTAATTTGTTTTTAACGCATAGACCCAACATAGTTCCGCACTAGGGAAACCCTGTGTCGCGGGTGCCATGGACACATACATAGACAACCACAAATTATACCCAAACTTACGATAGGCCATACAAATATTTTTCCCGGCCCGGAAATCGAATCTGGGACCTTTTCGTATCAGTCCGACATCATATAATTGTCACGAAACATACATATACTTCACGCCTTTTTCCCATCGAGGTAGGCAGAGACAACAGTCTTCCACTTGCTACGGTCCTGACACACACCTTTCGTCTCATCAACACGCATCAATGTTTTCAAACATGCTTGTCGGTTAAGGATACTGTAGACCTGGCCCTTCTTTAGGATGGCCTCAATTTGGTCATGATAAGTTCTCCTTAGTCGGCCCATACCAACTTGCCCGCTCACACCCGCCTTACAAATCTGTTTCGTCACTCTTCTTTTATTAATTCTCTCTACATGTCCGAACCATCTAAACATCCCCTCTATCTTTGTCACTATATCTTCTTCACCGCCGCAACGCTCTCTTATCACACTGTTCCGTAAATTATTCATCCGAGTCACTCCAGCCATACTCCTCAAAGCTCTCATTTCTACTGCATTAATTCTACTTTCACGCTTCTTCTGTCAAACCCAACATTCACTACCATACATAAGTGTAGGAACCAGCACACCCCATGCACAGCCAATCGTACCTTTTTAGACACTTTCTGGCTGCCCATGAAGGTATGCAAGGCACCATTCACCTGATTCCCTGCGTTCACTCTTCTTTCAATGTCTCTTTCACATTTTCCATCACACGTAAACATAGAACCCAAATACACAAACTCTTTCAATTGTTCCACTTTCTCTCCTTCAATATATATACTGCCACGAAACGGCAGGTTAATTAATGTAATTCTAGTGTCGGCGGGCTAAAAACACATAAGTCAAAAACCAATATCATTCATTTAAATTAATACATCTACCAACTAAAGCACAGTTAAATTTATTTGTTATATCTTCATTAATTTATAACTTAAATTCTAGTGGCATCTTTTTCAAATTTACCATAAATTATCTTCACATTTTCCAACATTAAAAACTACCCAAAAATATATTAAAATATGAAGCTCTTTTTTTACTTATGTGCTTTTACTCCGCGGACCCTAGCTAGAATTACGTGGATATATGTATACTTTATACTCTATTCAAACTAATATTATAAATGCAAAGGTAACCCTGTCTGTACGTTTTCACGCCTAAACCGCTGAACCAGTTTGGATGAATTTTGGTATAGAGATAGATGGGATCTGGAAGAAGAACATAGGCTATTTTTTCTCACAAAATTAAATAAAAAAAGGGGTGAAATAGGGGGTGAAAGTTTATATGGAGAACCAACAAAACTATAAAAAATGGTATAGTACAATGTAGGCTACTCAAAGTATTTATTCAAAGCAGACTAAGTCGCGGGCATTAGCTAGTAAAATATATATAAAAAAAATTACTCCTGTACTGACTCTAATAGGTGGAGGTTCATATATTTTTTATGCTTTACGTTTACATAAATCTTTTGTATTTACCTATTTCAGCCGCCAAGCTGTAATGAATGCATTCCGCGTTCCGGTTATGAAAGGTAAGTGTGACATTACAGGCACATGAGACTTGTCTACTTATATCTCAGGGTGACGGGTGCAGGGCAATGCCCCTCAGATCTTTGCGTCACAGTTGTGGTAACCTAGGGGCGATAAGATAAGATTTTTTTTATAATACCAAGTGATTGGACGACCAAGTCGTGCATCTGGTGTTAAGCGACACGTCTGTCCATAACAATTGCAGTTCCACTCAGAACTTTAAAACACAAAGATCTGAGAGCCACTGGGCCCATCACCCTGAGAAATAGGTTTATAAATCTCATGTGCCTATAATTTCAACAGCACCCTTTCTCTTCAAAACCGGAACGCAGTAATGCTCACATTACCGCTTGGCGGCAGAAATAGGTAAGGTGGCAGAAGTTCCCTGGACGAACTCTTTCACAAGGAAGTCTACTGCTACTTAAAAATTTACTTCACAGATAGTTGCAATCGAAAATATTCTATCAATTACACAAGAAGATTCTTACGTAATTAAATGATGATTGCTATTATCTCCACTGTTAGATAAATACGGTTCAGAACCGGGAAATCCCGGCATCTAAAGTACCGGGAATTCTCGGTTCTTTTATGGTAATGAGAGAAATTGTTTCCCGGTTTCTATACTTTCGGGATTCAGTATCTATATTGTAATTTCGGTTGGCACGTTGAGGTATTCTCGCGGTCGAAAGTAAACGTTACGTGATGAAATTAAGACTTCAGAAATTTAGTCCTAGTAGGTTACATTAGTAAGATTTCATAGTATTTTTTTGAAGTTAAAAATATTTTATCTACACACATATCATAAACTCTCTATAATGTGTTCAAAAATCGCAAATTACGACCAGCATAAACGGGAACAAACAGTTCAGTTACAACAAATTTCATATCTGTGAAAATGTTATTATTGTTTCATATTAACATCGAATTCGATGTTATTATTACATTCAAGTTTCGAACATCTCTGAAAAAACAAAACGATTTGATTTAACCTCAATTCTAATATCAGTCGAGAAGTTTTATTCGAAATGAAATGTCAATAGCAAACAATTTTGACAATTTCAGAAGTTATTTGATATCGAACGATATGATAGTTGGGGCCAATTCTAGTTTGTCTATGAATTAAAAATAAAAACTACGGTTATGTGACATGCGTGAGAAAAGTTTTTATTTGCCGTCATTTCACCAGTCGTAACATGCGGTTCCTGAACACGTCACAGAGAGCTTATAAATGTGTGTAGATAAGGCAGTGTATGTAACTACATAATTAGGCATTAAAACACTCGAGAGATGTTTTTATGTTTTTATAACCCTTCATAAATATAAAACTCGTATTTTATTGCCTTTCATTATGTAACAGTCACATAAACTACTATTGTATATTTTGTTTTAGTAAATAATTTTTTATTTCAATTTTTTTTTTTTTCAATTATTAAGAATAAAGAACTAAACAGACATCTAAGTTTAAAACACTGAGAGTGTAATAATTTTTAATAGTTATATTTTCTTAACGATTAAAGATCTGATTAGCCGTGATTTATTATATACATCGTTTAAAAAGCGACTGTTTAAATTTGGTGTTTTCGAAAACTATCGGAGGTTAAGTATAATTTTCTGTTACATTGATTGCTAAGTATTTTTTAAATATTTTTTTTAATTTCCAAGACCAAGATAAATAAGTTTACCGATTTGTACTACGTTAAATTCAATAAAAAAAAGCTGCAATGTTCACCGTTTTAACTTTTGAAACCTATCACATTCTTAAGCTGTCAAGTACTATTGCTTACTACTTCACTGATTCTATCACCATTCAACGACAACTAGCTAGATCCGGATGTACCGAAAGAACCGGGAAATCCCAGTTCCAATGGACCGAAATTCCCAGTTCTTCAAAACATGCTCGGTTCCGCAATTCCTATAGATAAGCAAGTACTTGTAAGCATTAGTCGATAGCTGTCACGGACGATGATTTATGTAAACAGGAATTCATAACTTGGATGTTACAAGGGTAAGTTGTCGGTCATATGATGGATAACCTATTCGATCGATTTCAACATGTGGATAAATTGGCACCAAATTGATACTTAGTGGAGCCCGTAAGGTGATCTCGTCTACAACTAACAATGTGTGTATATCCTAGCCGGTTTTGACTACAGCGACGCTATTGTTTAGAGCGGTTACACACGGCGACGTTCAGCAGCGATGCAAACGCGATGCAGTAGCGATGCAGTCGCTAATCGTCTACCTTTACATTCATGCGCGATTTTAAAAAGCGATGCAAGCACGTGACTGCATCGATACAAACGCGATGCAATGGCGCGATTGCATCGATACAAACGCGCAATTGCATCGCTACTCTTGGGATTTATATGCGATTGCATCGATGCAAATTTTCTAGAAATATAATACAAAAAAAAATTAGACAAAACGCAGAGTCTCAGCCGACGCTGACACGGTGATGAAACCGCGCAGCGCTGTTTTTTAGCCTATTCCCTATGGTCTTGAGTGTGAAACATATCAATGAGGGCTGATGAAGAATATAATTAATTATATTAACATACATTTATCAAAAAAATTTAAAATAGAGGAGAAGCACCAAATCTTGGATATTTTTGGTTGAAAATTTAAAAAAAATATTAATCAACTTAAAGTAGGTAGTCTTTATTTTATGATCTATTACAAATAAAACAAATTCTTCATATTCTTGTTAAATATTTTAAGTTACAGCACGTTTTATAAAAAAAAAGAGAAATATCAATGTATTTCAAAAGATTGCCTAAAACGAACTATCCGGCTTTACGGTCCCAAAAATATTTGTTGTGAATACGATGTTAGGTGACAATAATTATAATAAACGAAACTAATCAAATAATTAATTAATTTGTATTTATTAGCAATAACCAGCTTGTAATCAATCTTTGATTGAGTAATTAGTAAAAAAAATATGAGTATCTGTTAAAGATCCTAAAGGGACTTAAACATTCTTAAAAAAGACTCAAACATTAAAAAAGCCTCTTTTCAACGTATACTATAGATCCTTAACAATGTCAATTACCTTATAATATTTTTACTAAGGTTAAAAATCATTAATATCCGTAGTATATAGTCTGATGCTCGTGTTCCAGAACTCTACTCAATGCTCAAGTTAGGATGTGAGCAGACTTGAGTATGATTTCAAGCACTGGAAATACGACCCTAATGGCAAGGCCTTGAGTATGATTTTCAGTGCTCACTGCAATACTCAAATCCTGACTTGAGTATTGAGTAGAGTTCTGAAATACGACCCTTAGAGCGACTTCCCGTGGCACACAATTACGCGTCTAAGGGCGATTGCGCACTGTGTCCAGGGGGTCTACTCTCGATCTCCGTCCGACATCCGTCCGAAACAATTACTGCCAAATAAGCTTATTAATACTTGACCAAATGAAAAGGCGCGAGATGCGAATGAAGCTTCATACTTGATACTTGTATTTTAATTTTGTTGAATATTACTTATTTGACAGTAATTGTTTCGGAAGGATGTCAGACGGAGATCGAGAGTAGACCCCCCGATTCCGTATCCGTTCCGAATCTAAGAATATATTGTATGTAGAAAATTCGGACCGATTTCAAATGTCGCTTATATACGTCCGAACAAAATACAGATATCGCTTCTACATCTAGAGATTCATGATTCTAGTCATTCCGATGCTATGATACATGCAGCATTAACTATGTGTCCTTTTAATCGCCGTCAACTTTTGGCATTGTCATTGTACGTACAAAGATGTAGGAGAAATAAAGAGTTCTGGGTTTACCTTCTCTCAACGAAGTAACTTCGCAGTACAACATTTTGTAATAATCACGATGAACAAGGCAAGATACTTTATAATTATTATCGAATGAGTGTGTCCACTTTTGTCTCTCTGCCCCTCCCCGCCGCCGCCACAGCGCCATCGCGGGAAGAGACTCAGGACGAACGCAATGCGCAAGCTTTTAATACAAATAATATTGTAGTTCTTCGGTGCGACAAAATAATGATCCGAAGATATTCTCGGCTTCGAAAAACGGAACTTGGATTTAGTGCGCAATCCCCCATAAAAAAGTGCTAAAGTACTGTACAATTTTAGTGTTACATCTGGAAGCTTCGTCGTAATATCTAAACGTATAGGACATAACATGAGCCTCCGAATTATATTTTTCCAATTTTCCTAAATCTTTTCCGGAAAAATTTCTACTAAATTATTTGGAAAATCACCCAAAAATTACGAAAACTGTAAACTGGCAACATAAAACATGTGTCATCCATATTTTTGTGCTGGTAACATTAGTCCTTCCAGAATCAAAAAAGTGTGACGGACGATTATTTTACTGTTTTTGTGTTAAATTTATATTAAAAATGTCGACTTTAGCAGCGGCTTTATCTGTTGCGGGGACTAGAACCTCAGGAGCATCTGTACGAACTCAAAATGGTAAGCTTTAATTACAAAAACATACATGATACAGCTCCGGTTGATCACATGCATCGGCACGTCTGTTTTACATTTTGCTCATATCTGTTGAAAAACTGGATAAAACCACGTGAAGTTACTATTCTCAGTTTAAAATTGCCGTAAATATTTGTTTTTACTATGTGTAAAACGTGTAGTTATGGTTTCTATTTGAATATAAAGAATTATAACCTCACTACTAACCCGAGTTTTTCAACTTCTATTCATTATTTGAACTTGAAAAAGCATGCTTATTTTATTTTTGTATCATTCGCGCACTGCTACAATTACTTCGCTTTATGATTAACGCTGAAATAAAAAATAAAAAAAATTGTATCTCAAGTTCTTGAATATTTTTGCAAGGCATTGATTCTAAAATTTTTATCTGCAGTAATAGCAGCAGCTGCTATAGCCAACATAGTGAAGAGCTCTTTAGGACCAGTGGGCCTGGACAAAATGCTTGTGGATGACATCGGAGATGTTACAGTCACTAATGATGGTGCCACCATTCTCAAGTAAATGTTTTGATAGTCTTAAAATTTACGTTAAACTGCGTCATGAGTAATAGTCGGATATTTGGGTGTTTTTATACTTGAAGTTCACTTTTTTCTGTAAATTGCAGTCGAAATTTGGAAGCAGTTTCTTAAAATGTATTTTTTCTTCTTTGAAACCTTGAAACACTGGAATGGCGTGGTATTACATTTTTTCTATTTCAAATATATATTTTAACTCACTTTAATCTGAAAGGTATCAGGTATACCTTTTTTTATAATAAAGAAGACCGGGAATATTATAACTGGATCTCAGTACTGTGAATGGCTGCAAGTCTCAAATTTAAACACAAATGATGGTATACAATGGTTTCTGTAAAAAAATATTAAAACTGCAAATGTTTTTTCTTGATATCTGAAAGTATTACATTTTTTTACTTCCTAAATAAGTATATGATAAAAGTTCTATATGTTTAATTTAAATGTTACAAAAAATTACACAATATAACATTTATTATGTAAAATAATTTTTATTAAATTCAAAATTAAATTTCCTTAAATTTTATCTTTTTAATGATACATCAATCACTGTGTCATCGGATTTTTTCAATACAAAACTGCATTCCATTTTAGACAGCAACCAATTTGTAGATAAATAAGCATCCAATTATCTGGCACTATATAGTTATGATGAAACAGTCCTGCAGTCTCTTTGTAGAGATGCTGTGTTTTTTTTTTGTTTCCATGATGTTTCCACATCATGACTTTGTTGCACCAATTTTGCATGTGGTTCTAAATACCGTCATTCATTTTATAACTGATTATTATTAATTTCAGAATGCTTGAAGTGGAGCACCCAGCTGCCAAAGTATTGGTGGAGCTGGCACATTTGCAGGATGAGGAGGTTGGTGATGGGACAACCTCTGTTGTGATCATTGCTGCAGAACTGCTCAAGGTGAGATTCATGCTATTTAAGCGTAATTCAATGTTAAAATTAACAATAAGCCATTATTGTAATCATTGACTTACAAATAAATGGACGACGGGTCTAATACAAAAACCACGAAAAAAATGTCCCAAGTCAACCTATTCGAAATTTAAATTGTACTGTCATCGTAGTATCGCGCTGTCAGTAGAACAAATGAAGACTAAAGCGGAGTTTGGCGCTCTGTATACGATTTTAGCGCCTTACAAGTGCGGACACTTTTTAGTGCGGACCCGACGTCCATGTAATTGTAAGTCAATGATTGTAATAATCTCTATTGCTAATCTCTCAAAATTGAGCAAAAAACTTTGTTGCACAGAATGCGGATGAACTCGTAAAGAACAAGATCCACCCGACAAGCATCATCTCAGGCTACCGTCTGGCATGCAAGGAGGCCGTCAAGTACATTCAAGACAATTTGACTGTCACAGTGGAGTCACTTGGCCGAGCGTCACTGATAAACTCTGCCAAGACCACAATGTCTTCAAAACTTATTGGAGCGTATCCTTTACTATATTATATTCATGCAAAATGGACGCCTAGAGGTCCAGTTGCAGATACAAGCCTGTCACTCCATACACCATACCATAACATCGTTTAGGATGTCACCAAACTTATTAATGTTGAATCGTCTTGATGCGACCGTCTTTAACCACACTTGTCATATTAATTAAGGCAGAATTTAGTATAAGTCTCTGTATCACTATTTCAACTTTGTTATATTTAATTCATGTCTTGTTGGTGGTCCTAAAAATAAATAAATAGATATTAAGCCGTGTCGCCGTTGACGCGGCCGCTCGCGCGCCGTCGTGCCAATTGTTTCTAAACCAGAATTTGCTATTGTCGGTATGCGTACAAACGCGATCGGATATTCGCAGAAGAAGATTCGTTGCCGAGCTGTGTCGACCCGCGTTCGTACAAACCGGTGCAACACGCAGAACGTCTTTTTCGCTTTCACGTTCATGGACATAAGCTTTTTCTGACTGGCTTAATGTGGTTCTGCATATAATAAATGTGGTGACTCCCTTATTATGTACCAACTTGCCTTAATAACTTTTAATCTACCTTGCAGACTTTTAAAAAAAATATTGAATACACAAATATTTATTGAATAATACATAACTGTATGCCTAATATTTCGTTTTTCCTGCTTTATTTTTGTGTGAAGTATGAAAAAAGGAGTAAATATAGGAGCAGTGTAGTCAAGACACCAGTCAAACAAGATTCATTAAAATACAACTAAAAAAATAATTTCTTGACCTCTTTTACCAGTGATGCAGATTTCTTTGCAGAAATGGTAGTAGAAGCAGCACAGGCAATCAAAACGACAGACCCTCGCGGCAACGCAGCTTACCCAATCAAGGCCGTGAACATTTTGAAGGCTCATGGCCGTAGTGCAAGGGAGAGTGTGCTCATAAAAGGATACGCCCTTAACTGCACTGTGGCGTCTCAAGCCATGCCTAAGAAAATTGTGAATGCTAAGATTGCATGCTTGGACTTTTCTTTGCAGAAAACTAAGATGAAGATGGGTGTTCAGGTAAAGTAAATAATAATAACGCACACACATTCAACATAGCCCCGCACTAGGGAAACCCCGTGTCGCGGGTGCCATGGGCACACACATAGACAACCACAAATTACACCCAAACTCACGAGAGAAAGAAATGTAGGCCGTACACATATTTCTCCCGGCCTGGGAATCGAACCCAGGACCTCTGCATGGCAATCCAGCATGGTAACTGTTTGGCCACTGAGGCAGTTAAATGAAAAATTCAAGTGTATTCATTTCCTTCACTTTCATGCCATCTGTATTAATAGTGTGATATTCTGACTTAAAAGGCTTAATAAATACAGAGTTACATGTAACATACTAATAACCTCGCATAGCTATATTACTAGCATCATATACAACAACTTTTGTTCCATCATTTTTAATTCTTCAGACTTTACTTTCATACAAAAATTCTAATATTTACAAAAATATTACTCTAAACAGTGATAATAGTGCAAGCTAGCGTAAATATCAAATGTGGCCAATGGGATGCACTAGTAAAAATTATACCTGTCCGATGCAAAATGCAGGAGTGTGGGTGAGGGTCATCATTACTACCAAATACAGATCTAAAATGTAAGATAAAAAAATACATATCGAGTTCTTAGGTTTTCGCGATTGTTACAATGAAAACTTACAATACTATAAAAAATAATAATACATTAAAAAAATACAATGAAAACTTACTTGAAAATTTATTTTCGGTTTTTTTTCTATAAAGCAATGGAAGAAAAGTTCTTGTTTATGATGTTAGTAATATAATCTTGATCAAGATTGTTAGTGTTTTACAAATAACCCTGCATTGTATTATGAATTTTTATGGTGTCGTTGACTAATGATCAATAAAATTTTTTTCTTCGCTCACGGTAATCAAAGTTAGTCTATTGCATAGTTTCCCAAAGTGGTCCCTACCGCCCAATGGGCGCTGAAGAGTCCTAGGCGGGGCGGTAGGGGCCTCGGAATTAATTTATGCTGTCTAGGGGGCGCTATCACATTTGAAAAAAAAAACAAAATAGCTATTATAAACTACAAAAAACATAATTCTATATAATTTTTGTTATGTAGAAATAATATATAAAATTAAATTAATATAAAAAACTTGCTTCAATTATTCTTTGTGGTGGTGGGCATTGAAATTTTTTTTATCTTGCCTAAGTGAGGGTTTAAGACTTTCGTGGTTATTCACTAAATGATTATCACTAGTATCAGGTTTGTTACCACGGTGTGACTTCTTTTTATTTTCCCGATATTTCGGAACGGTTGCACGCTCCATGGTGGACTCAACCAGTCAACCCGTGATCATGGATAAATGGTAAGAAACCTGATGCTAGTGATAATCATTTGGTTAGTCAAATAGTTTGGGAATCTATGATCTATTGTATCCATTTCCTTCATTTGCACTTGCATTCAGATCAGTTTCAATACGAAAAATGACGGGTATGGAGCAACTAGAGCCAAAGAACATTTTACCGCTTCGACCAGTAGTTCAATAATTTAAATATATATAAAAATATCAAAAATGTACTGTGCAATTTTACTAAATTTTTGATATTTTTATTTCGTTTTTTATGCAAAACTAGCAAGATAGAAGCATTGTGTTTGTGTGTCTTCTTAAATTCAAGACTTAAAATTGCGCTAAGGTTATTCTAATGTAATTTTTCATAGCTTATAGCATAAATTGAGGGCAAATAAAGTCAAATCATTTGTAAAATTTTATTGGCAGGTGCTGGTAACCGACCCAGAGAAACTAGAAGCGATTCGCGCTCGTGAATTAGACATCACAAAAGAACGTTTGCAAAAGATCTTAGCAGCTGGTGTGAATGTGATATTATGCACTGGCGGTATTGATGACCTGTGCATTAAGTATTTCGTTGAGTCAGGAGCAATGGGTGTCCGTAGGTGCAAGAAGGCTGATCTGAAGAGGATCGCCAAGGCCACTGGCGCTAGCTTCCTTACCTCGCTTACTAATATGGAAGGTGAGTTTTAAAAGAAAGTACATGTTTTCTTGTATATTGGAACAAACAAATTGGCTTATTTCCAGTTGTCACCACTGGCTTTGTTCCCACTGGCAACAAATGGGATTTAAAAAATTTCATATATTCCCAGGTGGTGACAAACGGGATAAAAAAATCTCAGTTGTTGCCAGTGGTGATTTCTACTGGCGACAAATGGGGAAAAAAAATCCCGTATGTTACCAGGTGGTGACAAACGGGGTAAAAAAATCCCAGTTGTTGCCAGTGATGATTTTTACTGGCGACAAATGGGAAAAAAATCCCATATGTTACCAGGTGGTGAGAAACGGGATAAAAAACCTCAGTTGTTGCCAGAGGTGATTTCCACTAGCGACAAATGGAAAAAAAAACCCATTTGTTATCAGGTGGTGATAAATGGGATAAAAGATCTATTTTTGCCGTAAATGGAAAAACAACATTCAGGCTATTTAGGCTATTTTTGAGAAAGGGAAGGCTATTTTAGGCTACTTAATAAAATGACAGGGGAATTAAAAACTTGATTGGGGATTTCGCGGGAAATATAGTTGCAAAACAATTCATTTGGGGGTTTGAGTATTTCTACGTATGGGGAATAAAAGAATTCGCATTCCCCAAGTCCCCGCAGCATATAAAATTGCTTTCCTTTATTATTAGGAATTTTATAGCTTGGGCGAGTATCGGCTACTTAACACCCACAAATTGGCGAATTAATTTCGCAAAACTCTGGCAACACTGCCCGTGACAAAGGGTTTCCCTAGTGCGAGGCTATGTTGTGTGTGTGCGTTATTATTATACTGCTGCTTTGTTCGTCACCCTGAGACAATATTGATTAATCCCATCTGCTTGTAATGTCACCAAGTTCCTTGGCTTTGTCTACTCCCATTCCCCGGCCGAAACAATTATTGTGCAATAGGGTCAATGGCTATAGTCTTTTAATATGGCTACAGTATTTTAATTGGGTCGAGTATTAATTACCTATTTGACAGTAATTGTAGAACTGACTGGCGCTAGAAATGGATTTTTTTTTTTTAAGAAAACCAACGGCGTTACATAAAATATTTTACATAGTGTTTAGGCTAAGAGTAAAGCTAATGACAGATTTCCCTTGTTTACATATCATTATATAATAGTAACCAAAAGTAGGTACATCTTACATTAGTGGTGAAATGATGCCATTACTTACCTTTATGAACATTTTTTAAGGAGCTCTATTACTATTAAAATGTTAATTTTGTGAACAGAGAAAACAAATGGTTTTCAATATATGCGTATTTAATACAGTGGAATAAAAATGCAAATGCATTCAAATAATTTTCAACTATTTCAGGCGAAGAAGTATTTGAACCAAGCATGATCGGTGAAGCCGCGGAAGTAGTCCAGGAACAAATCTGCGATGACCAGCTCATCTTGATCAAAGGGTGAGTCAATTCATTATACCTACTCAATTTTGACCAAAACCTTTCATGGTACGCAAATTTGCAGTCATCATTTTAACTATTTTTTGTTTTAATTATTGGATGAAAACGTATGTAATAAATAGCTGTTGTCCGCGACTTCGTTTGCATAGAATACTGTATGAGGCTACTGTACTCTAATATATTCTAATAATTCATTTATTTGTGAAAACAAAGGTTAAATAACTGTAGTTTCACTGTGTCCAACCGAACATTAGACATGCAAATATTGAAGGTATTTTATATATTCACTCACATGCACTTCGACATACTAAACCAGGTGTAACATGTTTCTTTTTCAATAATATTACATGGGCGTGCACACATGCATTTAATACGTCGGCCAAAATTTCAACGCTACGATAGTTACATGGGTCAATTTTAATGCTAACTAGATGTCAAAATAACATCATGACTACGTCAAAAACGTCCTATGTCAAAATTAGACAATGAATTTATCATTTAAAAATATATATGATATATTAGCATATACAAGTTTTCATAATTGAATTGGTTTGCCATACAAAATTTCGTCCTGTATTTCACCCCCTTTAAGATTTATTTTTGTGACCAAAAGTAGCCTATGTCCTTCTCATAGGTCCTATTTTTCTTTATAACAAAATTCATCAAAATTGGTTCAGCGTTTAAGGCGTGTAAACGTAACAGACAGAGTTACTTTCGCATTTATAATATACTTCCGGACACATAATTCGAACCACCTTGATTGATCAAAAACTATTATGCAACTTTGAAACTGGTATACTAACTGGTATATTATTCTTTGTGATCTGTATACAATAAAGTATTGGTAAGTAATTAATTTACTTGCTAAAGTAATAATAAATCGGTCGGATACGACACCTCTGGCGCGAAATGCAAAGGAATACCCAGTCGTTGCTTGGCCAATATAGCAGATTTTAAATGTTTCTTTAAAAGTGTATTTAGATTTAACATTGAAAACTCATATTATTTTAAACTTTCTAATTCAAGAAGAAAAGATGGGTCTAAGCAATAATGTCGCAGCTACTTTTTATGCGATACTACTCATGAGTACAGTATCCATGCTTTTAATTCGATACTGTGTCCCTAGTTATGTAGTCCTGCGAAATAACTCTGCAAAGACGTGATCCGTAACGTGAACGTTAGCACACCCCGGACACTCCATACAACGGTCGAAAGTTATTTACCTACTACTATTACATACAGCAAGGCGCTATCTGCACACGCATAAATGTGTGCGTGAGGTGGCAGGGTTACACATCACTTTCTCGTACTTATTACGTTACGTGGTCAGAGCGGCAACATAGCGAAAATTGTTAAGCTAGTCTGTTATATATAAGTACACTATACAATTCACGATCATGATGTTATTGCATTAACGTACAAGTTTCGTAATGAATAAATGAAAACTATATTCAAATATCGAAGCCGTCTTAGCGCGAAAACGACTCGCCGACCGCCTTGTTCCCGTTCAGTCAATGTGACCGTCAACGTGCGGGGCGTGGTGCGGTATCGAAAGCTAGGGAAGGGCGGAGAGTGTCCATTCTCTTACTCTTTTGTTCTCTGACGTTAGGCCCAGCGCGCGCACGGCGGCGTCGATGATCCTGCGCGGGCCCACGGACGCGTACGTGGACGAGATGGAGCGGTCGGCGCACGACGCGCTGTGCTGCGTGCGCCGCGTGCTGGAGTCCGGCCGCGTCACGCCCGGCGGCGGCGCCGTCGAGGCCGCGCTCTCCATCTACCTCGAGAACTTCGCCACCACGCTGGTACGTAACCCGTAACATTTCACCATCATCATATTCGACCCCCTCCTACGTAAAGTATCGTATTATATTATATTATTATATATATACACGAATTTCATCGCGCTCAGGCCAGAGACAGCGTGTTCAGAGACCGAACTGTCATTCTAAAAAGTCTAATAAAAACAAAAAACAAAGATCTGTAACAAACACATGGAAAAATTCGTGAGGTCCGTTGGTTCGAGTCCAACCGGATCGAAGTGATTTTTTTCTAAATGTTCCATCTTTGTTTAATAATTATGTATAACAAACTAGTGGAATAATTTCACAAAAAAATACATGGGCATTCAATAAAACTTAATTAAAATAATCAATTGGTCCTAAACTAGACTATACCCTGGACTAACAAATACCAGAGCAGAAAAAAACTAATTGCCTCTACCGGGACTTTCTCGTCTAGCACCCAGTCACAGAGGTCATCGATATTGTATTAATTTTATTTCCTTTTGCAGAGCTCCCGCGAGCAGCTGGCGATCGCTGCGTTCGCGCAGTCGCTGCTGGTGATTCCCAAAACATTGGCGGTGAACGCGGCGCGCGATGCCACCGACCTCGTCGCCAAACTGCGCGCATACCATAATTCCTCACAGACCAAGGTAAAGTAAATACTAATAATAAAAAAAAGTAAAATGTAATAAATAATAAAAGATAAAAATAATAAAAGCAAGTCGAGTTCTTAGGATTTCGCGATTGTTACACATAGGAAATGAAACTATTTTTCCGGATTTAAATCGCGTATATTTGTTTTTTCAAACAAACCAACGTTTCGGGCCCTTTAGGTTAGGACCTGTAAAGGGCCTGAAATGTTGGTTTGTTTGTCTATAATAAAAAAAGTAAATACTTCGCATTATAATATGCTGAGTTCCGATCAGTAAAAATGGCGTTAAAGTATTAGAGAAATTGCGATTCACAATATAACCCCCAAAATATAGTATACACTCATAGCGGGCGGCGCAAAATACTTGTAATATTAATAATAATAATTTATTTAATAAAGAAAAACAATGACATTACAAGGTGAATGAGAACAAAAACTATAGTTGTACAAGAAGAGAAGAAATGCCATTTATAAGTGATCCCCTAACTCCAACTTCGCGTACTGTTGGCACGCGTGTCACGCAAACTACGCACTTCTATATCGACGCAGAAAAGCGATCTTGTCGTATCTCGAAAAATAGGACTTTACACTGATTATATACATCATCCTTAAAAATTTACTTTCTACTAATTCCACTGGTATAAAGTCTTATTTTTCGAGATACGACAAGATCGCTTTCCGGCGTCGATATTTATTGTTCTGTGCACAAACGCAATTTACCGTAAAACTGTATTGACAGGTAGAACATGCGAACCTCAAATGGGTAGGTCTGGACCTGATAGAAGGCACGTTGCGCGACAACCTAGCTGCCGGCGTTCTCGAGCCAGCAATCTCCAAGATCAAGTCTCTAAAGTTCGCCACTGAAGCCGCGATCACCATCCTGCGTATCGACGACATGATCAAGTTGGACCCAGAGCCGAAGGGCAAGAGCTACGAAGATGCCTGCCATGCAGGAGAACTCTAATGCGTGTATCAAAGATCTCAGTATTGCACTAGTTTGAATTTTGATGCAGAATATTTCAATTGTTAAATTAAACTGAGGTTGGAGACTCATAAACTCATTCTTATTCTATAACTTTTTTACAATTAATAGTTTTATATAACTTCAAAAGTTATAGAAGTATTTGTGAGATGACCAAAAGTTCTGATTGTTGCATGTATTCATTTTTGTGCACTTTTCCTTGGGAGTATAATGTTGCATTATTTCACATCGTGTCCATAATTCCCTCAAATATTCACGTAGTGACAATGTCCTGGGATCGCATTATCAAAATAACTGTGAACGAGTGCTTGAGTGAGGTGCCTGAATGTTACTGCTGCATTTTGTTAGAAATATTTATCTTTAAGTTTGATATACTTACCCTACCTTTACCGCAAATGGATTGAAAATTTAGAAACATTTAAAGTCACAACTGATGTGACGATTCGCTGGGCAAAAAAATGCAAGTTACATTTTAATAACCTATCGAATATCCATTGATTAAAATTTTATTCGTATGTATTCATATCTTCACAGGCCGTCAATGGCTATAAGAGCAAGTTGCTAGGTGCCAGTGTTTTTTCAAATGCAAATATTTTTAGTAAATATCAGATATCAGAGAGGTTTCAAATAACATTTGAAACCTGGTAAATAAATATGTGTGATATTAATAATACAAACAAAACGTATTTGTATTTTGTTTTTCATTTTATTACAAAAGAATCTATGAAAAAGTAGACTTCTAGAATTGATTACAATGATTATGTATAGAGGAAATCTAAGGCTGATAAGTTCAATGTGGATTTGTATAAATTTTTGCCATTTTTTTATCAACACTTAATGCAGGATTCGTGTGCTTCCTAATGTGTGAATGATCTTCGTCGGATTCATATTTTCTCTTATCAGCATTCACTTTTTTCTCTCATGTATAATTTTATTTTAAAAGTATTAAGCAGGGTGGACTTTAAACGTCACAACGGTGTAGTATAACACGCAAGTTCAAGGAAATATTCGCTATAAGTTGTAACCGATGTTGGTTTCTTTGCTTTTAACATTTAAACGCTAGTTTTATGCTAGATTGTATGTCACTATTAATGAAATAAATGATTACTACCTTTTTTAAATTTTTTGTATTTGAGACCCAGAATATGTGTCAGTGAAGATCAAGCAGTGCGGGTTGTTATGTGTGTCCAGACTATTAGAAATTTCAACGATATGGAAAAATTTTTTTAAGGCGTTATTGTAGACTGCTTCAAGGAAGACAGAAGAGCAGTCCCACAGCCAGTGCTGGCTTACCTATAGTGCAAGGTGTCCGGCGCACACGGGTGCAGTCTTAGGCTCAATTTACATTGCGGCGGAATGGAATCAAATTTTTGTAACGTAATTATTCATAGCAAAATGAACATTATATCAATTGTGTAACATAAAAACCAAGTTGAACTGACTCATTTAAACATACTGTACGACTGAAATAAAAGACGACTTGAATACCACTTTTAAACGTTCGAGATCATTTCGAAATGTATACAATATACCTACCTATCTTCCTAGTTGTTTCATAACATTAACATTCCATCCTTATTTTTAGCCAACACCATCAGTGAACAGTTCCTTTCGACAAGTAGAGTACCTACTACTGCTGTTCATTTCGACTTGGTAGCTGTATACACACAATCATTAATTTATCAAGAAAATATTTTTTTTTCGCTGATCTGTCTAGGGGCGCTACCACACTTACCTACGAACGCGGAATTAAGTCCATCAGAAAAAGCTTTGTTCGCTCTTATTAAATCGATCTAAAGCTTTTTCTGGCCGGCTTTTTTATAATGAGATTCCGTGTCGGTTGTTGTAAATCGACTTTCTTAATAGTAGATATTAAGCAGACTAGACACATACTGGTGTAGAAGTTTCATAGTTTGTGGTGGCTAGTAGTGGTTTTAGCAGCAATAGAGCTCCTTGTGAAAGAGTTCGTCCAGGGAAGTTCTGCCATCAAGCAATAACATGAACAAAAGTCAATGAGAGTGGCAGATAACATCTGATGTCTTCGTAAACGTGTTTGAGGCCAATGATAACCATAGCCTGATTCAAGCTTTACAAACGCACTTTCAAATGTCGTTCTGATAACGTTATCGCTGTATAGAAATACTTATCAAAAAGTTAAAAAACGAGTTATATAGGATATCAAATTTGTTATATTCTTTTTTTTTTCAATTAACACAGTAAGAGACAATGTTAAAAGTAAGAAATTTACTATATCCTTTGCTTAAAGAAAACCATTTCAGATTTTCTGCTTTCTCATCAACAGCTGATCACAAGGTACCTAAATTTTTCAGCCTTAATATTGAAAATAGAACAGTTATTGCTTTTATTTTTAATGCGTACTGGTCACATAACAAGTTTTGAGTATGTGATAATTTTCTAAAAAAAATTACAGGAGGCCAAAGTAAAAATTAAGAATTGGGAAATAAATTACCTGAAAGTTGGGAATGGTCCACACAATTTGCTTTGCCTGCCTGGTGCTCTAGGGACAATTTGGACAGACTTCAAGCCACAAATTGAAGGTATCAATAGAGAGAAGTTTACTCTAATAGTATGGGATCCTCCAGGCTTTGGTAAGAGCAGGCCTCCAGAGAAGGATTTTCCTCCTGACTTTTATGAAAAGGATGCTGACTATGCTTTTGAATTTATGAAGGTGAGTTAGTTTTGACATTTATTCCTAAGTTAACAAATTCTACTGTGTATAAACAAAATTTTTGTTAATTAAACTTATAAATTCAGCTCCCATTTTTTAAGAAAATATATATATTAATACATGTGCACAGTCCTCCACATAAAGGCCGAAAGCAAACCCGTAAGTCCACCAGAATTTGTGTGAAACAGTGTGGTTTTGTCTTTACTCTCACATAATATTTAATATATCTAAGTAAAAATAGTTCTGTTATTTTTAAAAAATTACTCCTTTTTTGACTACCCAATTCACAAGTTTAAAAAATCAGGGCTCAAAGCTCTACATGTCCAAGTGTATGTGTGGACTTATAATAATACTTTTATTTCAGACATGCATCCATATCTGTTGATAAAAATAATCTTACTAATTATATTAGTAAAGTAACATATATAAAATAAAATTATTACAAATTCTCATTTCTCATACCTAGCATGCGACGCATGTAACTGTATCCAGTAGCTGAATATCGAGCTGTCATTTGTATCAGCTCAGAAAACCATCGGCGCTGCTGCGCATACGTATCATCAGAGATGCGACTCGCTTACGCATGACAGAGGGCATGAAAGTCATCCGTGCGCACCTCCGCTTACATCCCCGACGCACGACAATAACGCGGCAGACCCTTCAGCATCTTGAACGCATTGATATAAAGGACACGCAGCGCGTGCTTTTTTAGTGCAGTTGATCCACAGGGTGCAGGTGTAAAAAGTTTCACAATAAGCTCTAAACAAGGTTGTTTCAATACTTGTTGTACATCTTGCAAACCTGCGGATCAACATGTTGCTTCTTACCGACAACGTCCTGCGCTAAGGTCATCAGTCTGCGTCGTGGTGACCACTGTCCCAGATAATGAAACTTTAAAACTATCTTCAAAGGGGCACCTTCTAACTCGACTGGTGGGCGGTACTATCTTGTAGGTTTTGTGCCAGATTTCATTATATTAGTACTTCACTCGTACTAGCCATCTGAGGCCATGTGGCTCTGTGTAGCTTTCACAAGAGTCCAGCAACTTCCTGAGTCAACGTATTATTAAAACACTGTCCCGCGACTGAGCAGCCTTCTCGAGTGTTGCTCTCCAGGTGGAGTCACGGACTTTGAACGAGTTAATTATTGCTGATACATTTGATTTTGTTATAGGCCCTAAACATACCTAAATATTCTATGCTGGGATGGAGCGACGGAGGCATAACTGGTATGATAGCGGCCGCCAAGTACCCAGATGTTGTAAACAAATTAGTTGTCTGGGGATGTAATTCTTATATACTGCCTCAAGAGGTTGACATGTATGACAGTAAGTTTTGTCCAGAATAACATGGGAATAAGATTTTTTTAAATTAACCTGCTGTGACCCACTGTTGGCCTGTTTGACGAAATATCAGGCCATACGCGGCCCAGTCATCCCGCCATCTCCTTGGTCAGCCTCGACGATTATTCCATGGTAATCAAAATATACAATAAAATATCTAACCACCCTGTAACGTTTAGAAAACAACACCACTTTTTCGATATGTGAAAACAATATATTATAATCAAACAAAAGTAAATAATGTATCTATTTAAATTAAGAACTGACTACAATCTATGATGTGAATATTGTTAATTGATATAATTTATTGTTACAATTACAAAAATGCATGTGCGCGTTAGTACATCTTTATGTCAGTGTGTAATTTTAAAAGCACGTAACGTAACATTATATCTCATCAGTCATCACATAAATAAAATATAATATTGTCATGCCCTTACGGGGTGAGATATTGTACTATAGATAGCGAAGTATTTATTCATTACTTACATATTATTACACATATGCAATATGATAAGCAATTAATTAAAAATAAAAATAATAAATATTGAAAGAGTTTGTAATATTGCACTACGTCGAAAAAAATCTAAATTATATATATTTCTAATTAGTTTATTAAGACCTACATACCTCTGATGTAAAATGATTACTACATAGATATCGTTAGAATACTTACGTCATTTTATTTCAGAAGTGAAATACATACTAAAATATTTCCACAATTATAAATTCTATAATTCGTTTTTTTTCTGAGATTAGACAAAATAATTATTTTCTTTGACAAATTTTAAAATTAATGGAATGTAATTTTTTTAAAGTACTTCTCAACTGCCACTGTTAACTAGTCAACATTTTCCAACAGAAGTGAAAAACATAGACTCCTGGTCTAAGAGGATGCGAGAACCAATGATAGCCGTTTACGGCGAAGAGTTATTCCGGAAATACTGGGCAGCATGGATAGTGGGTGTTGTTAACCTTTTTCATGAAAGGAATGGAGATATTTGTTCAAGAATGTTACAGGACATCAAATGTCCTACGTATATTTTGTATGGACAGAAAGATCCAATGGTTGCAAGTGTACATGCCTCGCATTTGCATACTCACATTGTGGGATCTAAGTAAGTTTCTACCTATTCATGTTGTATAAACCTCTTAAAACCCAAACTACAAAGCGCTAAACTCCCAATCGTAAAGTGTAGGTACTAAATATCATTAAATGCTTCAGGCCCAAACAAAGTATGCCCTCAGTTTTGTATGAAAAACTATTCATTATATTATTAGCACTCTATTTTCATTAATCTAAAAATATTTTAGTTTTTTCATCTTTATAATAATAGTTTATTTCCTTCACACACAACTCTTTAACAATACTATGTATACCATTATGTTGTAAACCAAAACATTTGTTGTCTGTAAAGCCTGGAACCTAAACTAGGATTCCCTGTGCTATAGATCTCCAGGCCTCTACCTACGGATAACTTTTAACGATACATAGATTACATAAACCTTTACTTTTATTGATTTTTATTTATTAAATACTTTATTTCAGATTACACTTGTACCCAGACGGCAAACACAACATCCATATAGCCTACGCAGACGATTTCAACAAAAAAGTTGAAGATTTCCTGTCGCAACCGTCGAGCTAAGTTTAAGTTCAATAAGCTCAGTACAGAGGTACTAAAACACCGATTCTCAAAACTCATTCATCCCCTCCCTAATTTGCCACCCCCAGAGGTGGAACATTTTCTTCAAATTAAAATGGGATCACTCCTGAGGTACCCCCTCTTTCTAAATCATCAAAATTGGTTCACTAATGCAGAGTTATCGCGTATAGGTACAAAAAAAAAATTTGAGTTTTGAGTTGAATTGAGAACCTCCTTTTTTAGAAATCGGTTAATAAGTCGAAAAGGAGTTTCGTAAATATTTACAAATGTTACCAATTTGTTACATATTTTTATAAATAATATCATTTGTTTATATTGAAGTTAATTAAAAATCATTTATATGGGTATGTTTTTAAAACAATTTTTCATCAACAGCGAACTTCCTCCCTCGACACAAATGATGTGCCGTTTTAGGAATCTCAATGTATGAAACTAATGGAATGAGATAAAAACATTAAATTTACTCCCACTACTTTTAATGTATGGAACTTTTGGGTTGCAATTCTTCCACGTGGAACTGAGTACATGGAACAACTGGAAATAACAATTTCGACCATATTATGGAATTCAGAAAACGAACCATATTTTTTATTCATTATGACATGACCACCATGTCATTGTCTATGTATATAATAGAATATGCTAGCTCCAAAGGTATTCAGTCTCGCTTTGAAAATACCAACGCGACGTTGTATTTTATTTAGTCATAATCATAATATTTGGCGCAATATTCGGGATAATGAAAACAAGAGAATTAATTCCCATATTTTATTTTCATTTACTTCTTATAAGCATGTTTCATTTCAGAATAAAACAATTTACATTCAATAACACATAATTTAAGGTTGAACTGACTCATTTAAACATACTGTACAAGTGAAATCAAAGATATAACTCTAACACCACTTACACTTTGTCCCGAACAATTTCGGAGTAAAAGTGATTTTGATAATGCATTTCAAATTAGTGGCGTTCGAGATTTATGGGACCCATTACCACACATGTAGGATGACAAACAAGGACAAACAATATGTTAAAACAAAAAAGAAATGTTTTTCTCGTTTCTTTATAACATTCCATCTTTGTCACCCTACACACATTCAGTGTTTCCCTTTAGATAGTTGATATTGTACTACTGCTATCCATTCATAACATTTTGTTCTGTTTATTTTTTACTTGACAACTGTACAATGTTAAAACGGTTTGTAACCAGAGTGTAATTCGTTCACAAAATCTTTGCAAGTTCGTAACTTTGCTATTCCCAGTGGCGTAATAAAGCAAGATAAGACTAATTTGTCACGAGGCTCTAGACAGGATCTTGGTGCTACTTTTTAATTGTTTAAAATCGACATTCTGAAAGGCTCCCGTTCAGCATGAAAAGGCCACAAATTAGTATAGTATTCACGTGTCTTGTTTTCTTTACGGATCTGTCCAAACTTTATCGTTCCTACTAAAATTCTAATAGTGGCATGATAAATTCTGGTGCGGGAATTAAAAGGCATTAATTTGTGGGAATATAAGAATGTTAAAGGCTTAATTTATATTGCAGCGGAACGGAATGGAAGCAAATTTTTGTAACGATATTGTGCCTACATAGCACTTAATGGTCAATAATTGAGTAACGTACAAACTAGATATCTTCCATTATATTCCGCCGCAATATAAACATAAATGGAGCCTTACCCACTTTTGCTTTCTTAATTGTTCGTATAATGAAAATGTGCCAAATAAAGACGCCATTACCTGGGAATTTCCCATACTATGAGTACCAAAATAACGAAATTTATTCCGATGCATTACCCAGAGACTAGAACCAATTTAGAAAAGTTCGTTACCTAAGTCCTTCCGGGAATCGAACCCGAGTGTTTCTCACCTCTAATTGCATTCAATTGTTATAAATATTTTACGTGAAAATCTAATACCAAGATGGACCGTAGCACATTAAATTTTTAGTAGAAAAATAGACGTAGGGACAGATGTAAAAGATTTTGTATGAAAAGGGACCATAAATAAGTTAAATTTTTTGGGGACCCCAAAGCTATTTGATACGCCACTGTTCACTATCCATCTCTTATCACTATTTATATACCGCAACGCGTTTTACAGTCCTCAAGTAACGCGACTATAAATTAAAACATTGTTTAATGTTAGTGAGAAATAGAACTTGACTGAAAATCTACATTAAAAGAAGTGGTTACAACAATTTAGAGCTATCTTTCAATTAACATCGTAAAATATGTACCGATTTAGATTAAATTGGTTTAGGTTCATAAATATGTATTGCACGATAGATTATATCGACTAAGGGTGGGACCAGACCGACCAACGATATTTAGCATTTGGACTATACCAAGAGCGAGTTTTGTTGGAGAACGACGTCTGCAATGACAATGATGCTATTTGGAGAGGGACAAATGTAGTGAAAGATATGCGGATAATCACGTACAAACGAGCTAAGCCTGATTTAAATAACTTCGTGTTTATTTCCTAATTTGTAACTTAAACTTGGACAAATTTCGTTTTGCAAATACGAAAAACTTCCTAAGCTCGCCATTTTTGCTCAGTCGAATTATGTCGAATGTTCATGTCATACCCACCCCTATAAAAGTGGGAATTTCTACTGTCGAAGTTGTTGACGAATATGTTTACCTCGGACTAACCGTCCAATTAGGTAGTGCCAATTTCGAAAAAGAGGTCAATCGTCGAATTCGACTTGGCTGGGCAGCTTTCAGGAAGCTCAGAAACGTCTTCTCGTCAGCAATAGTTTATTTTATAAATATATACAACATATACTTATGTGCACTTGAAAACAGTTTATTACTTAGAAAAGGTTGGTAAACCATTCAAAGGCTTAAAGAAAGGGCCTTGTGGGACTCTTTATGTTAACTAAACTAACAGATAACTCACGTATTTAAGACGACTGTTCCCTAGATAAGTTTTGAACCAGTCCGTGGTCCTTATTCATGATATTCAACGGAAACTGCGCGCCAAAGTCCTGACAGCCCGTTCGCTCAGTTCAGCTGCGGGCGCTGGCAGCAGCAAGCGACTACCCTTGCTACCAACTACGCGAAGTGTTTGTCGATTCAGCGCCGCGGAATCTCATGATTAAAGGATCACGGTGGGTTCGAAACATGTCGTGCAAAAATCCGACTTAATTACACGAGTTATCCGTTAGGGTACGTTCCCATTATGTCGTAACGTTTTATTTATCGTTGGACGACTGTCGCGTCTAGCCTGTTCCCATATCACAACTATCTGTCGTGACTGTGTCGTGGACGTTTATTTTATCGTTGAACGACTGTCGCGTCTAGATGTTCCCACTAGATCATGACAATTTATCAGTTCACACAGACAGAATCATTTGAAGCTGCGATTATCTGTCGGACGACTATCGTTCTAGCTCTTACCATTGTCACGACAGTCTGTCGTCGTAACGTCAAAAAAGTCGTGAACGGCAGTTAATCGACCTAACCTTCATTTACAGGCCACGACACTAACTTGCACGACCATCTGTCATCACGACATAATGGGAACGTGCCCTTAGTTTTTTTTTGTCATCATACCAAGTGACGGGTCGAACTAATCGTGCGCCTGGTGGAAAGCGACACGCATGTCCATAATAGTTGCAGTGCCGCTCAGGGCTTTAAATCGCAAAGATGTGTTACAGACATAAGTTACAGTACACTGAGACATAAGTTAACAAATCCCATGTGCCTTTAATTTCACCAGCACCCTTACCCTTCAAAACCGGAACGCAGTAATGCTCACATTACTGCTTGGTGGCATAAATAGGTGGTAATAAGGTGGCAATACTTCCCTGGACTAACTCTTTCACAAGGAGTTCTAGTGCTACTAAAAGTGAGTCTCAGGGTGTGGGTTCCTATTTAAAACTCAGTTTTTGCTATTAATTCAATGTTCTGTTAGGCTACCGTTGATCAACAACAGAGAGGATTATAAGTTTGAATACTTATTAATTCAGTATCGTACATTTTCAATTGTGAAAATTAGACTGCTACTAACCTTATCAGTGGTCAGTCAGTACGTTTCGAGACTATAGTGAAAGTAACTGAATGCACGCAGCTGAATTACGCACTTAATAACGCGATGAAATGCCCCTTCCGCTATATTTGTCCCTTTCAATGAGGTCACATCGATACCGCCCATGTAAGTTGTAAGTCAAAATACCATTTTTTATTTTGTACCTTAGATGTATCCTTTTTTATGGATATTACAGGTTCCTTATTCAAAAGTAAAGAAACCCCTTAGTTTCAAACATGGAACCTAATATTTTTTTTGTTATGTTTAGTTTCAAACATGGAACCTAAATATAATATAATATATAAGTTATTCTATTCTATTTCCTTAACGACGGCCACTAGGCTTGGGCCAGTGTCAGTTTCGATATATAATTTAAAAAGCAAAAAATGGTATTTTGACTTACAACTTACGTGGGAGGTATCGACATAAAGTGACAGTCAATTATATGTAAAATGCCTATAACCCTATGCACGCCTACTGTTGGGTAAATTTCCGGATAAATTAAAAAAATAGGAAAAGTATAATTTAGAAGGCTAATATGGTCTATGTTCAGAAATATCTTTTGAAGTTTTATTTAGCGTGAATCACAAAATAAACTTGTATAGCTAAAAGCCATATAAAGAAAAACGAGATTTGAAAAATGATTTCACAACAGCGGAAAAACCTTCAACAACCACACCATCACTTGTTGTTGGCTGCATCGTTTTCGTTCTGTAACTTCAACTTTTGACAGGTGTCAACAACAAATGTGTAAAATTAAAGGATAAAAATTGGAAAAATATCCGGAAAACTATTTATTTTTCTGAAAAATACGATTTTTTCAAAATGGATTTTTTCCACAACCCAACCCTACGCACGCCTAAATTGGTCTATTGCTTACACAGGTGCTTTATTTTACTTAAGCAACATCACTTTACATGTTATCAGTGCTTTTAGGTTAAGGCACTCAATGAGCTGTCCGAAGACCATGGAAGACCGACCTATTAAAGGTCAGAGGGGCTGCGTCAAAAAATTGAGAATATATTTTGGCCCGAAAACCGATCCCAAAAGGAAGCACTTTAGTACAAATTCAATGTCAATATCCAAACAACTTCACAGTCTGACAATGGCTCCTGTACACCATTCACTATAAACAAACACACAAGCTTCCTAACTCGATAAATACATAAGAAAATATAGTGACAATTATCAAAACATTCACTAAATCATGTAAGCTTGTTCTTATTTTATAAATAATTTCTCTAGTTACATTACAAAAATAGTATACAGTGATGGGCGACGCGGCGCGAGCGTGACACGCACGCGGCGCGATCGGCAGCACCATGATACAGTGAATAACTCTACCATTTACACTTTACTTATATCAATATAATGTGTGTACAAAAATCGTTCGTGCTCTATGTATACGCACAATAGAGAAAGTAGAATGCGCGTAATTTTCGTAGTTTTCAGCGACATTAGTTCCCGTTTTCCCACATTATTGTCAACGTGTTTGATTATTATTTATATTATTATTTATATTGGCTATGTTCTATAGGAAATATAGTATAACGGTAGGTCACTCAAATTGAAAACCAATATTGTACGTAAATTTTTAAATAGAAAGACAATCAGGTCACGGTTATTACCAATTATACAGAAAAACTGGCTTTCCTGCCACGTTGATGTTGGACACATCCCGAATCCCGAAAAGGTCCAGGACCTAAAAAATATTGTCGTAAGGCAGTCTTCATTTTCTGACTATATTCCTCAAAGTTTAAGTAAAAAAACGATTTAAAATTCCGATCCCTGGTAATCAGTATTACTAAAACATAGATTCCATAGAGCATTTCTGCCTAGCCCTCTTTAACATATGGTAATACTGTAAACGTGTCTGGGACAGGGATACTTTCATATGGACATGACTGGAGTTCCAAGTAGTTCAGAGGTTAGTAATTATTCGACTTGAGTCGAATGGTTGTGCTTTGATTCGAATTAGGCGAATGATTTGCTCATTCGAATGATTAATATTAGTAACATTCAAAGTCGGGCATCGCAAATCTAATTGTTCTTGTGGCCGCTTCTGGCGCTGTACAATTTGCTATACGATCATTTTAGTTCGTCACTGGAATTGGAAATGTACAGTAAAGACAATGTTATAAGAAACTTGAACCTCCACAACGAGATGCTGATGACGGTTTAAACTGTTTTTATAGCAAGTTGTACAACACCTTTGGCGGTTACATCGGGAATTAAAATTAGCCATAAAAACATTTCACACGGTCGCTAGCGATTTCAACGCGTTATTCTCATGACAGAGGTAATATAAATAGAAATTAACAAGTGTAAAATAGTAGAGCTATAAAACAACTGCTATCCATCCATTACATATATTACAGCAATAAGATTACTCTTACAAATACATAACGATACATTATTACAACATTATCACCGGGATTATTAACAATACGGTTCTTATTAAATTTAAATACGTTACATTCGTTACGTGTACAAAACTAATTTTTTAATAGAGAGTCAAAGGCACACACTTTGTAAAATTACTACACGTTAGTTTCAGTGTCTCTTTGCCACCGTCGTCGGCGCGATTTCTATTTTATTGCATATACGAATAGTGTTCAATATTCAAAGCCTTACCACAGTAGGTAAAATACTTCAAAAAATTATATAAAAAATAGAGTACTACGCATACTCTGCGATTTGGCACTAACGATGCACCTGTTTCATTCATTCTTTGAATTTAGTCGTTTTAGCAACAAAGAAATGCTTAACAACCTTTCGGACGAAAGGAGTCGGAAAAGTAGCTGGCACTCACTCCACCTGACCCCAACATTCAAAAGGCATTGAACTTTGTATGCTTGCAATACGGTCTGGAATTCTTTCGCCGCTATACGTACACCGGACCTTGATTGTCATTATCGTCGAGATTAATTTTGTCCGTATAGCCATCGTCAAAAAACCGCCTGAATGTGAACTCGAAGAACCCGTGAAACTTTCCGTTATCTAACAATTCACTGTCCGACTTGTTAGAATCGGAGCTGCCTGAATTTCTTAGTTTATCTGGGTCTATAGGGTCAAAGTTGGAGGTGTCCGTCGGATATTCTATTCGCGGTATGTACGGTGCCACTTGTCTCCGAAGCCCTTTTTCAAAATCAATGGTTTTGAAGAAGGGATGGTTTTTAACTTCATTGGCGTCCTTGCCAAGTCTTGTGTCTTGCCCCGAGCACAGGTTCAAGATCAAGTCTTTGCTATCGCGAGATAGATTCGCCGCTTCCGGGATGTGAAGTGTGCTCTCCCAATTTATCACCTGTAATCATGGTTGATGTGAGTTCACATACTAAAAAACTCCCAAGAGAAAAATCCGGTTCGAAGGACCAATTTTAAATTTAGATATTAACAAAAATTGTAAAATCGTTAAACGGCTTTACCATAGCAAAATTGAAAAAAATCAACAAACCTTGAGCTGAGTTTCTGCAGGAGTGTTGGCGAGAAAAGGTGGCGATCCGACGAGCATTTCATAGAGGATAACACCCACGGACCACCAGTCGCAGAGTTGCGTGTACCCAGCACGTGTGAGAACTTCAGGCGCGATGTAGTTAGGCGTGCCCACAAGCGAATGGGCCAGGCAGCGCTGGTGTTCGCGCCTGCGTCGCCGCTCTAGCGGCTTCAGCGCCCGGCAGCGGCACTCGGCTGCGGCCCCCCACTCGCCCTCCATCGGCTCCATCGAGTCCTGACGTCCGTGCTCGGCTAAAACAACACGGTACAAATTTCAGTTTTTGGATGATGAATTAGAACTTCCTTTTTGTATATTACATAAACAATATCACGAAAATTGTGGTAACTTACCATTTCTTTGATAGTACTTGGAGTTATGAGTCCACCTGAAACCAGTGCAAAGGCCGAAGTCTGTCAACTTGATGTGCCCGTCTCGGTCGATGAGGATGTTATCAGGTTTTATGTCGCGGTGGATGAACCCCATCTTGTGGACGCTCTCCACCGCGCAAGTCAGTTCCGCGATGTAAAACCTCGCCAGGTCTTCCTCGAATATCCCGAGCTTTATTAACAACGACATCAGATCTCCGCCCGGAATATAGTCCATCACAAAATACAAGTTGTCCTTGTCCTGAAAACTGTAGTACAACTTCACGACCCATTCGTTGTCGGCCTCCGCCAGAATGTCCCGCTCGGCTTTCACGTGCGCCACTTGGTTCAGTTTAAGCACGTCGGCCTTCCGAAGTGTCTTCATGGCATATAGATGACTAGTATCAATCTTCCTAACTAGCGTTACCTCCCCGAAAGCCCCAACGCCGATTGGTTTTATTTTCGTGAACATCGACTTGTCCATTTTCGCTCGTTTTAGTCTTATATAATTCGACTCTTTCTGCGATAACATCTTCCTCATCTGGCACTGCGCCTCGGCGCATAAGCCTATCTTTGTCATCTCCTTTTCCAACTGCATTCGTCGGAATGTCCGTTGCTTATACGATTTGAGAATATTTTCTACGTGTTGCTCCATGAAAAATTTAAATGCTTGTGGGGAGTAATTCCTGACTTTGCAGTCCCTTCTCTCGTCCTCCTTCTCTTTACTGATGTTCTTCCGTTCCGGGATCGGGGACTGGTGTCGTATCTTCTCCACCATTTTCCGCTCCGGCCGGCGTTCCGTCGAACCGTTACTACACTTCTCTGAACCAGATGGCAACATGTTATCTTTTAATAAGTTATTGGTGCAATTTTGGTTGGGACACTTGACGTCCAAACCTTGCGACGTCTCGCCTTTTACATCGTTTACAAACTTCTTATGAAGAGGTGAATGGTGGGAGTTAACTGTAGTGGTGGTTTCGGTTTGGTTTCCGTAAGGTGGCGGCGGCATAGGGTGCATGCCTCGCTGCACCGCTAGCGCTTGCATTGTGGTTGCGTAACTAGGCGGTTCTGTCGTCGGCACAGTGGGTGTGGTCGGCGACGTCCCGCTCGACGTCGTGGATCCTGGCGACGAAGGCTTAGGTGCCAAGGGGTAGCTCGGTGGTGTCTGCGCTTGTTTTTGCTGTATTGAGCTCGCGTACGATGGCGGAGGCGGCTGCGTGACAGAGCTAGCTACAGGTGGCGGCGCAACAGGAGCTATCGCCGTCTGTAATACGGGCTTTTGAACTTGTGTACTTTTCACGGATTGCATTATTATGGGAGGTTGCACGGCCTGCCTAGCGGTCCACGCCTGGATAGGCGTAGGACGGGTCATCCCCGACGCCGAACCCGTTGACTGCGTGACGGTGATGGGACTGGGTGACCCGGCAGAGGTACCACCCGAGTAGATTCCCGACGACGGACTCTTCCTGTAGTCCTGCGACTGCGTCGGGCTCTGGCGGTTCTGCATGGAGACAGAGTACGAAGGAGGAGGCGGAACGCCAGAAAGAGGGTAAGGTGGAGGCAGTTCGGCCGCCGAGGCGCCCGTTTGGTATATGCTGAGCGCCTGGATCTGCTGGGTAAGCTGCTGCTGCACCTGCGGCCCGTTCTGCACAATCATGGGCTGACGCGCAGGCGGCGTGGGCGCAGCCGGCGCCACGGGGCTGGTGCCTCGTGCTGGCGGCAATGGCGGCGCCGGCGACATGCGCTTCATCAGGTGCTGCACGGAAGGCGGCACAGGCGGTGTGGACGGACATCGCGGGGGCGGCGGTGGTGGCGGCTCCGCGAACCCCGACGGGGAGTACTGCCGGCTCAACTTCTCGTGCGGCAGCGGCGGCGCCTCGGGCTGCCGCGGGCTGTCCGACCGCGAACTGCCTGCGCCGGAATCCAGCGCAGGACTACCTCTGTGAAGATTGATCTCACGCTCGAGGCTCGGTTTTCTGATGAGTTTGGTGCCAAGCACACCCAAGTTGTTGCTCTTGAGAGCGCCATTGACGACAGGCTCCTGCTGCTTGAGCAGATAATCGAGGGCAGCGTCAAAACGCCCGCCCGCATACTTGAGAGCTCTGACTGAGTGATCCTGTAATTTCAAGCATTTACTCGGATGAAATATAATAGTACTGGTGAAATCCAATATCAATAAAATAAATAATAATAATAACGCTCACACTCAACACAGCCACAACCCACCAACCAGGGAAACCCTGTGTCGCGGGTGCCATGGACACACACATAGGGAACCACAAATTACACCCAAACTCACGAGAGAAATAAATGTAGGCCATACAAATATTTCTCCCGGCCCTGGAATCGAACCTGGGTCCTCTGCGTGGCAGTCCAGCATGGTAACCGTTCGGCTTCAGAGACAGTTAAAAATATGTACCGAGTACATATACATACATATGATCATAAGAGTAGTAAAATAACCGAAGACTAAATGTATGCTTATATGCTCATAAGGACTAAATGACAATAGAGAAATATTTTGTTTACCGACATTTAGCCCAATAATTTAAAATATTAGAACTATATAACTAAACATTTTATAACATTCATTTAAAATGAAACCTTAAAAGGTAAATATCTCAAAAAGATTGTGGTTCAATAAAAAAGTTACAGTATTTCTTAAAATATTATTTGTTTAAGCAAGTAGGTCAGTAATGACCCCAACTCCTTTTAATTGTAGTCATTTTAGGGTTATTGCTTTTTCTCGTGTATGCAGATCTCTTGAAGTTACTCAAAAGATTGCATTTTTTGCAATGTGTAAATACCATAATAAAACTTGAACCTCAAGGTTCACATTATTTAACATATTACATACCTCATCATATCCTAAAGTGATGAGTTGATTTAAAGATTGTGGCAGCACATTCAAATCTTTGTCTAGTCCATTTCCAGAGGAAGAGCTGAATCCGGAGCTCACTCCTGAACTAACAGTACTAGCTGCTGATGAGCCCGGGGGCTCAGAGTTGCCGATATTGGCAAAAGGTAGGAGGGAGTTGCGAATCTCGGCAAGCGCCTTCTGGTGGTAGCCCGAGGAGCGCGTGGGCGTCTTGCCGGGCGCCGGCGGGTTCATGGCGCCCGCGCCGCCCGCCCCCGCGCCCGCGCAGCCCCGCACCGCTCACCCGCCGTCGCCGTCTCCCCGCCCATCACACTCCGCGCGCGCCATACACTCCACTATCAGCTCGTATTCTTCTCATTGGTCCTCACTTGACACTCTGTTTATATCACGACCGTTTCGCGTTTCAACAGTTATTGACACAATTCGCCACTCACTGTTTTGCTTGTAATAACATTTTCATCTGTTGCAACTGCTAAAGCTTTGCTCTCACCCTGAAAACGAAAGAGATTATTTTTACCAACCTCATATGATATTCTAATAGGTTTTCAGGGTGACTGGATTGTTTATTGTAGTACACGCAATGTAGTTACTGTCAGCCTCTAGTATCAAGTATGCATATCACCAAAAACTTCTCGGATTTATAATATAACTTTCAAAAAGTGAAGCCTAAACTCACAACTTCCAATTATACTAGCGATTATAATATGAACTATAGGAATGCTCAACGCAAATTAATCATGACAGACCTGTGGAATGCCAAAATTAGAGGCAGCTTTGTTTCATGTTAGCCGCTAAAATTGAGCCTATGGCTAAGATCCGAGTAAAAACAACTAAGTTACCTGATTATTTTTAAATTTCTGTAGTTTCGAATAAGGGTCATAAACGTCGCAATCCCGTAAAATAAAAACGATAGTTGAGCGCTCTCACATTACCGATGACATCTTTCTTTTGCAACACTTTCTATATTTCCTCAGAAGATGTTCCAAAATAAACAAAATATTCGAGGAACAGGTTGCTCTTTTGGTTCTATAATACAATATCCACTATATTACGAAAACAAAGAACTCTAAAACACAGACATGCAAGTTGGCAAACCATACAAAGCGACCATTTTGAAGAATTACCACATTCTTTTGTGTGTTCGGAAATGGTCATTATAAATGACGTTTGTAGGTGATCCTAAATTATTGAATTATTTTACAAATTCATATGCGAAACCTATGCAGTTGCTCATGCTTCCAAAAACAATTATTTATGAGTTAAGTTTTAGTTACGCATTTTACAAAAGATATACTTAAATTAAATTTTTTTTTTTCAAATTGTAAGTACGTACAACAAATGTATATCCGAACAGAAAAAATACGTGCATTGTTGAACATGTAAACGACCATCAGAATACGTGAATGAATGAAATATTTTTTAACAACATCACTGTCATACCTTCAATCTTCAATCTTCATTGTTCTATTCAATTTTTCGTTCAATTCGCCTTTTTTGATCAAAACTAAAGCAAATTAGTTTACATAAGCGAATAATCTATATAGCGCTGCCTCTGTTCAACAAAGAAATGAAGTTGTCTCAAATTGTTACAACAAAACTGTGAGGTGCCTAACAGAAATGAAATTGAATCTTCGTTTTTCCAATCATACTGAAAACTAATTTAATTACGAACCAGTTTAATGTTATTTATTGTTTATTTAATTTATTTAGATTTAAGTAAACAAACACACACATAAGTGGTCCTAATAATTCACAATGTTAATTAGAAAAACTAAATTTGTTGCTTTATTTTTGTTGATTTTTCCGTACTTTGTTACGCCCGAAGAAAATTACGTTTACGATTATGATTCAGATAATTTCAAACAGAAAATAGAAGAAATGGATGGAAATTTTATTATGTTTTATGCACCTTGGTAAGTTTTTATTTTTAACTAATTTTTTTGTTACTTTAACTAATTTTGTAAATGGTCTTGTTGTTTGTTCTAGGTGTCGTCACTGCACAGCCTTCCATCCCATCTGGCTGGAGCTAGCGGAGCTAGTAAACACGCAAGGGTCAAAATTCGCTATCGCTCAGGTAGACTGCACAGTGCACTCAAAACTTTGTCAGGAGAATGATATTACAGGTACCTGAGATCATTTTACTGCGTAAGTCAACCACACGATTATTAATTAATAGATTCAGGCGTTTCTTTGCGCAAGTCCATGTTAATATAAATGGAAGTAAATTAATTTGCTACTCTGCGAACCCAGTGGAGGTTAAATCGGGCAAAATAGCTGCGCTTGTGTTGAATATTTTTTCATGCAGTTAATTATCCCACCCTCCCTCTGCATAAAATAAATAACACAAGCGCAACTATAGTCACAAACCTTCACCAAAAATATACCCAACACATGTTTTGCCTCTCCATGAGGCATCCTCATCCTCATCAGGCATCCTCTGTTGACTGCTTGACGCTCAGCCGAAGAGAGTCTGGTGATGGTTTGTGACTATAGTTGCGCTTCTGTTATTTATTTTATTAATTGTATGCGGAGGGTGGGTGGGATAATTAACTGCAAGAAAAAATATTCAACACAAGCGCTGCTATTTTGCATGATTAAACGTTTACTGGGTTCTCGGAGTAGCAAAATTAATTTACTTCCATTTTTATTCACACAATTATTGATAACTTTTTAATTCACTTGATGAGCTAAAAGCAAAACTTACGGTTAAGTCACATTAATATTGAACTGCCTCTGTGGCCGCATGGTTACCAAGCTGGACTGCCACGCAGAGGTCCCAGGTGCAATTCCCGTGCCCGGAGAAATTTTTGTATGGCCTACAGTTATTTATCTCGTGAGTTTGGTTGTAATTTGTGGTTGTCCATATGAGAGTCCGTGTCACCAGTGATACAGGGTTTCCCTAGTTTGGAGCTAGGAGTACACACTTATAAAAAAAAATTATAATAATATTATCATACAACTATTTAACATTTTAACAGAAATTGCCTGGTCTCAAATTAGAAAATTCCCTGTACTGTGAGTACCAGTGCAACGGAATTCTAGGGCACTCCCCCGAATACCCAGTCCAGAGCCAATTTAGAAAAGTTCATTTCGCAAATTGATCCTACTGGAAATCTAACCCAGTACCTCTGCATCCAGGACCCACCATCTACACCGTTAGGCCACTGAGATCATTAAGTTGTTGTCATTGAAGCTATTTGTGTATTTTCAGGCTACCCGACACTACTGTACTTCCATAAGAACTCTTTTGTCCCTGTAGAATACAAAGGTACTAGAGATCTGCCGTCTCTAACACTATTCTTAAATGATGTATTCACTTTGTCCACCGAGGTATGTTGATAGAATGCACTGACATCTATTTTAGTGTTGTGACTTATTTAAGAGCCAAGGTTTTGTCAGTAGAATTATGATTATATTAATATCACCAATCAAAGTCATTGCAGACAAAAAACAAATTGACACCAGCAATTAACATTATGGTAAATTAAAAGTTGCCACTTTTCACGAACTTGCAATACCTTTTGAATTCTTTGAATTTCGTTTCCATAGTCATAATAAAACTAATGGAGTTGTTTACCAAATCTCAAGAAATACATTTGATCGAAAACCGACAACTGCGTCAGTTGTGATACCTGTAAAGGTATCGGCTGGAGTGAGGTTATTCAAAAATCTCTCACTAGATATCACTAGCGGCGACGAATGCCGAAAGTCAGTACAAAATCTGTAACAGAAACACAGGAGAATTTCGACGGCTCGGTAACTGGACTCGTGGCTCAAATGGTTAGAGTAATGCTACGGTGCAGCATGGACGCGGATTCAAGTTCCACCAGGTCGACGAAAAATTTTTCTTGTGTTTTTTTTTATTCATAATGATACTTTTTGAATTTCAAACATTATAGATTTTTTTTACTACAAGTTATTCATCATACTGCCAGGCATAACGTCTGACACGGCTTGCTAGAAGATGTCGGTTCGAATCCGGCCGACTTTTATAAATTTATTGAATAATTTAGCATTTAAAATGCAAAAGAAACAAAAGAAAAGGCAGAAGGGTACATAGGGTAAAGGATTGCTGGTGTCAAAATATTATCTAAAAAAACATTAAATTTTAATAATGTACCAGATAAAAAAAATAAAAAAGATAAGCGAGTGTGTATATTATGTATTAAAAACAAAATTGCACCAATTATCTGTGTATATAGTATGTATATAGTATGCGGACACCAGCCCGTTGCACCAAGTACCAAGTACCAAGTATGTACCAAAGTAACTATTTAAATTAAATCTGTTCACTATTCAGAACACCCACACTAAAACCTTCAGTACGAAAAAACGATGTAAAGAAAACAACTTAAATTAAAAAAGATTGCTATCACAACATTATGTTGGTTGCTGCATACAGATAAATACTGATATACCTTTTCTACTAAGGACTGATAATCAATATCTGTCATCTTGGAATGTGCTCTCATTCTCTCATTCCAAGTAATGACAAGGAGATCGGAACAAGTAGAGTACATTTACCTAAATTTCAAGTAATACACAATTCCCTGTTATCCAAAATGATAAAAGGTAAAGGCAAAAAAATCAAAACAATAACAAACTCTCTTCTAAATTCATTATTGCACACTAATTGTTAGATACATGTCCGAAATATAGATCAAAATACTATGATAGTTCTGGAATTTCAGAGGGAGATATTATACACTCTATGTATAATATTACACCCTTGAAGTTTTGATAAATATATTCGGCCAATTCCAGTCCCTATTAATGATGAAGCTATAAATAATAAAACGAAGAAGTAGAGTATGTTTTCACTCCTAATCTTTACATAGAGCACCAATAACACCTGTTACATCTTCTCAAATAAGGTTTATTAAAGCTGGCAAGCTAGATTTGACATTGACTAAATTTTTCATACAGATCGATCACGCAAAGATTGTTGTGATTCTTTACATAGATACCACAAGTAATTTACAAAAAATGTGATTTCAGGGACATGACAAAGAATCAAGTGAAGTGAAAGTGTATAGTGGGGTGGCTTACTTGACGGATGCGAACATTGAGAAGCATCTTGCCTTTGGCCAGCACTTCGTCATGTTCTATGCGCCTTGGTGTAAAGCTTCACAGGTATTTACTTTTTCAATAAATGCATACAACTTACGGTTAGAATAAAGACTATACATATTATTTTTATATTATTTATATAACAACGTTTTTTTAATTTTTTAATTTATTATGTAGACAAAATTGAGACTAGAATTCTGAACCTACATGTGGCATACAGACCTTTAAACTTCCTTCCATAGAAAAGGTCCGTGTGAAGTTGGAGAATACTCAAGAATGTCATTTGTACAAAATTAAATACGATAGGCTAACATTATTCACAGAATCTATGTCAAGTAGGTTAAATGTTGTACTGAGTGCAATATTGCCAAAGACGACTTAAACTCTGTGCCACCACGTGAGTTTCTGCCTCTCATTAGGAGGGTGCACATCACACGAGAGCTTGTTAAACACTTGTATAGAAAAATCCACAGGGATTGGCATAACAAGACTGCATTAATGATCCCGTGTACAGGCCTTAATAAAAACTAGAACAAAATTAATTAAACCATTAGTATTTATTATACACTACACCAACCTGCGTACATTATACACTACAAATTTATTGTTCTCGCTAAAGTCATGTATGTATACTAACAGTTAGTATCAATTTTCAGAAACTGGCTCCAATATGGGCGGAATTAGCAGTGCAGTACGCCCACAACAAGTACATACATATTGGCAAAGTCAATTGCATGGAGAATGAATGGACTTGCAAGAATTTTGATGTTAAGCAATACCCTTATCTAGTTTGGATTTACCATGGAAGAATTGTAAGATTTTTTCGTTTGTTAGTAATTAGGCTTGCCATGAGGCGCACGACTTTTTTCGTCCCGGCAGTTAATGTTATAAAAATGAAAAATAGTCTAAGACTAAGACGATTACACACAGCGCGACTTTTAGTACCGATGTAAACGCGCGATTGCATCGCGACCCTAGTGATTTACAGGCGAATGCACCGATGCAAACACGCGATTGCATCGATGCCGTCGCTGATGTTGAAATATTAAAATCAGTTGTATATAAATCACAAGTGTATGTAAAGGTAGACGATTAGCAACTGCATCGCGACCAGTGTTGCCAGGTCAAATCTGAAAAATTCGGAAGATATTGCACAGAAAAAACAGTAGATTGAGGAAAATAAACAGTAGATGCTGAACTTACGGTGTTTGAAACACTTTTAATCGATTTTCTTCAAACATAATGTTTTTGATGTTATCTTACGATATTGGTAACTCACAATAAAAATTGTATTTGGATCATCATATCATAGATGTTACTTCCCCACATTTTCTAGACCTGCGATTGACAAATAAGCCGCAATACCAAAAAAAATTAAAGGACGATGTTCTATGTTTTGACCACATTGTAAAGTTTTACAAAAACTCAGACAAATGTTCAATATGTAGAGAGTCACAGTTGAGATCACGTTAAAGCTAAATGCATGCACGTAAAAGATTTTAGTACACTATACAGTACCTATTTTGTCCAATAAAAACAGTTTACAACATTTTTTATTTAATGTGCTCTGCACTTTCATTCCAAAAACATAAAGTACGACGTCGTAAATGGAAACGACGATTCACAAAATCTAAAAAGCCGACAAGAATAGTTGTGAAAAATCTGAAAATTCCTAAAAAACAGTAGATTTTCGCTAAAAAATAGTAGATGTCGTCCAAAAACAGAAGATCTACTGGAAAAACAGTAGACCTGGTAACCCTGATCGTGACTGAATTGCTGCAGTTGGTCTCTGGTGTCAATGGTTGCAGTGGATCTACTCTCGTTCTCGTCTCGTTCGACATTCTGTCTGAAACAATTACTGTCAATTAAGTAATACTGGATCAAATAAAAAACGCAGTGTCAAGTATGAGGCTTCATACGCATCATGCGTCTTTTATTACTTTTATTACGTACTTTAATTAATTGTTACAAGTAATTTACTTCCATTTTTATTAACATAGATTTCTGCAAAGTAACACCTGAATCTATACCTTATCTAATACAAATGACCTAAGTTATACGTAGCGATATTATTCAGGAAACTTCTTAGAGTTAGCTGTAGTCATGTCATGCCAAATGCCTTGGAACCCAATAAGTACAATGTCTTTTAATCTGGCGCCCAACAAGGGTCCAATTATAAATAATAACTCGATCTATCTATTATGAAATTGCGATGGAATTGTGGACAGTGTAAATTATTTAGTATTTTAGGTGTTCCACACTACACAATTTTTTCATCATCCACAGCGCGATTTTTTCATTGTTGGGTATACATGATGTGATGTGTGATACATGTGTGAGACATGAACAAGTTTTATTTTGCATTATTTACAGGTAGGCATATCCAGTGGTGAAACATTACAGGAACTCAAACAGTATGTAGACACAATGTTGTTGACTGAAACCTATGATCCTGAGAAGTTTCTTAAGAAGAAGAAAACATTACCAGTAGCCAGGATATTAGAAGAAACCTTTGACATATTCATGGAGACTGATTTAGTATTCATTAATTATTTTGCACCATGGTAAGAGGTATCAACAAATTTTTGTCGAGCTTAAGTAACATTTTTGATGCTACAAATTATTTTTGTGATTTGGAATTACGTGTCCATTTATGCGGAGGATTATGACCACCACAACTTGATATTTCGCAGGTGTGCCCATTGCATGCAACTGAGTCCGCTATGGATAAAACTGGGAGAGAAATTCCAGAACAACACAAGAGTCCTTATTGCGGACGTCGACTGCGTTAAATCTAAGGAGGTTTGCGAAGCTGAAAAGGTTGGTCCTCACATCTCGGGTGAATAAAACCCAAAAACAAACGTGTTCGAAATTACGTTTCACATCAATATACGTATTGTCAATAGGGGCAAGTTCATAAATTTTCCCTTTAATTGTTTGACGGATTGCTCTCATCTACAATTTTAGTAGCAGCATGCTCCTTGGGAAAGAGTTCGTCCAGGGAAGTACTGCCACCTTACCTATTTCTGCCGTCAAGCAGTAATGTGAGCATTACTACGTTCCGGTTTAGAAGGGTAAGGGTTCTGGTGTAACTACGGGCACATGGGACTTGTCAACTTATGTCTCAAGGTGACGGGCGTGGTGGCAGTCATAGATATAGAAAAAAAAGGGGAGATATGGTATGGCGGCGTGGTTCGTGTCGCCTCAATATGGTCAAAATGACCATATCGAGGTGACACGCCTACAAACATCGCCACAGTGACATAGCGATCGTTGTACATACAAGATCTCTCGTAAAACGTGAAAATGCTAAGTTATAGCGATACACCTTGTAAAAATTGGAGTGAAAACAAAAATTTTAACCAGTGAGATAACATTCCACCGGTTATTTGCATTTTTAGTTACTATTTCTATTATTATTCAATGTTTTCTTATTGTCTCCATAGAAATTTCTAGACTCAAATATAGTGATGTTCATTTACGAAGACTTACATATGTTTATCGACAATAAATTTTTACTGAAATGTTTGAATTTCTTACTATGATTTTTGTAATTAAAGTCCCTAAAATATCAAAGCGAAAAGCATTCACGTTAAATTGATTTCTTTTATTTTATTATTATTACTAAACATTTTATTTCGAGTAACTTTAACACAACTCATATTTCGGACAACCGTTTCAATTTCATGTCAATTTGGATGTTGCTGTTGCTTGAAGAAAAATTTATGTGTTTTTGATATTTAAGATATTTAAATTCCATTATACTCGTAGATTAAACGTAGAGTATTTTTTCATTTTTAAGTTTTTCCAATGAGTTCAAAATAAAAGAAGGTTGGATTGAAGTTGCAGGAAAATCGAAAGATTGGTTTGCTTATTACTATTTCTGACTTTGTTTCAATTTCCATGCAATTCCACTTGTGCATGCAAAATAAATTAGAAACAATTATAGAAAATTACATAAATCCTTCATAACAAAACAACATAATTTAATTTATTAAATTCGTTGATGGTTCGAGTTTACTCTTGACAGTGACAGCTTCACCAACCCGTGGTAACGTATAATGGAAAATTTACACTGGCGACGATCGCCATATTTTTTATATTATTCTTATAAAACTGACACTGGTCCAAACCTAGTGGCCGCCATTAAGAAAATAATAATAATTTATATTAATTTAATTTAACCAGTACCAGTGTAGATATAGTATGAAAAATGGAATATTTTTTTTAATATTAAAAACAGCCACATGGTTTTCAACTATCGATTAGGTAGGACCACATCACTCGTTGAGTAGCGTCAGTTTAAGGTTAATAAGGTTAACAATTCACGGAGCGGTTTCCATCCGCGCCCGCCGGTGCTGCTAGACAGCGGTTTTGTTTCAATACTCACGATCCTGGAAGTTTGTGCGGGCACGTAGCTGCCGCTGTTGCGGGCACGAAACCGTTGCGATTGCGGAACGGACCGCGAAGTCAGTGGGAGTTAATTGCAAGTCGCGCGGTTAAGTTTCAGCGCCATCTAACGTGTAATAGTTAGCTATTATATACTAGTAGTATTTTTACTAAAACGCCACCTATTGGTGAATGGCTGAACCAGGATGAAAAAATACTGAATTATTGTAATATAACTCTTATTCAAGTGACTGTAAGTCTAATTTTGTTAGATTTTAAAATTGTTTTAGGTCGTTTTCACGTTTTAAACCCTACCCAATCAAAATCTTTAAGTTATGGTAGTAGATAATAGAGCGCAAAGTTTGAATTGCACACAAGCTAAAAAGTAGCGACATCGGCACCCGATCTTACGTAGCGTCATAAATAGGAGCATGCACTATCCAGTATTGCAGTCTGCCTAGCCGTCCGCTGCGTAATCCAGGATTATAAATGTAGTCGGACCGTGCAAGCCATCCTGCAATGCGTCCTGCGAAACTCCATACGTGGGCCATACGCAGGATGGCGTTTATTGACGACCTGAATCGTTATATTCTTCGCCGTTCTTTTGGCCATTACATTTTAAATTCTTGTTCTTTTCTTGTAATTGACTATACCCGTCAAATAATAAAATAAGTGAGAGTGAATTATGCAGTAACCAGAACGGGGTTTTATTTTTTTCATCCTCAACGTCTGGTGTGAGAACTGGGGGTAAACTTAATTAGAAATGCCCATGTTATATATTTATTATATTTCTGCCATTAAGCAGTGACGTGAAATTTTAGAGTATTTGTTGGTGAAATCATAGGCACATAGGACTTATCAACTTACGTCTCATGGTGGCGGGTGCAGCGGCAGTGCCCCTTAGATTTTTATAATTTAAAGCTCTGAGTGGCAATGCACTTGTCATGGATAAGCGCGTGTCTTACCATCAAGATCACGATTTGTTCATTCCGTCGCTTGATAACAAAAAAAAGATAACACACAGAGATATCGTTGCCAATAACCTTAATTTATCACTTATCTATTACACGATACCCTAAAATATGATATTTCTCAATAATTTATTTATATACTTGCAGATAACGAGTTTCCCAACACTAGTCCTATACAAAGATAAAAAGATGGTGTTCATAGAGAACGGCGGGAGACCTTTGGAAACCCTAATAGCGCTTGTCAATGAACACTTAGAAGACCAAGCACCGGCGAAGGAAATATCTAGGGAAGAAAAGACCAAAGATGAATTATAATGCTTAATCAATTTTTGTTAGGTAGATCATTAAACGAATTTTGTTTACCTTGAAATTGTTTGTCCTTTCTCATTTCCCTCTATAAACTTCTTTACACTATTAAACTTTGTCTGCGTTGACACATATAGATGATTTGTCCTTGAAATCCGGAACTTGGTGTGAATAGAGCATTAAAACCTTGGTATTAACAGAGTATGCAAAGCAACCTGTAGTATTAGGTTTATTGATGTAAACTTGGTGAAAATCCTTCATAAACAACAATTACGTGCTTTTTATGTAGTCGTGAATTCACCTACCGCATCTCGAGCAGAAGCTGTTCGAAGCGGACTCGCACCTCTAAAGCTCAATTTATATTGCGGCGGAACGGAATGGAAGCGAATTTTTGTAACGCTATTGTACATAGCATAATGATTTTATGGTCAAAAGCTAAAATCTTAAGGAAGATTTTGGCTCGTATCTAGTTTTTACGTTATTCAATTGACCTTAAAGTTCATTATGCTACGAACAAATTTCAAACAAAATTCGCTTCATTCCGTCCCGCCGCAATATAAATTAAGCCTTAGTTTATCGAAATTTAATTTGATATTGACCATGAGTTTTTCGGTGAACGAAAACATCGTGATGAGACCTGCACGTTGAAGGTTCACAACCCCCGGGAAATGTTCAAGACGCCAGCTCGCATTGGGTCAAAGGCGTCGCAAACTAAGGCCCTCGTCTGAGAAGAGACTCGTGCCCAGCAGTGGGACGTATAAATGGGTTGTTAATTATGTGTTTCATAATTTGAAAAATATCCCAAAAAAAGTATGCAGCCGTGTGTCAAGTACATACATTCACCTTACTCCACGTGGTTAAAGTTGCTGATATGCTAATGTTTAAATAAAAAAACAATACTTATCTCTTCAACTTTAATAAAAATAACAAGCGTTCATGAATAATAGAAAGGATATTTTTAACGGCTCAGGCACGTGGCACAATGGTTTTCTATTTCTCACTTTTACGTGTAAACGTGTGTCTTGTGTTGGATACAAGCAACCGGCAGCTAAAGTGAATATTCATTTTCATACAATTGATATGAAATTGAGAGTCGCCGGTTGCGGTAAAGCAATTTGTGTAAAAATAGAATAGTCGTTTCTAGTTGCCGGTTGCTTGTATCTAACACAAGCACGTTTGCGCGTCTTAATATCATACGTGAGAACCTAAACACTATTCTAAGAGCCACTGAATAAAATTCGTGGCATAGAAGTATAAATTGTATTTAGGCAAAATATGATTTTAGTTTACAATTTAGACTAATTAATAAAGAATCTCCTATCTAGGAAGTTAATCACAAAATGTAGCACAAGATTGAATACCTTTGATTTTGTATGTGGCCATTGATAAAAAAGATTAAAAAGATATGTGGGTGATTAAATCTCATGGTTCCAGCTTTGCCCACTTATGCAATAGACGACCTTATATTATATCTAAGTAACAGTTTTTTTTCCAGGCAAATTTGGTATTGCAGGTAGTTGGAAGGACGAGTCTAAGGAACTATTAACTGGGGACACTCGACATACCGGGAATATTAAATGTTTTGATTTAGGTACCGCGCAAACTTGTGTCTTGTGTTGGATGAATACAAGCAATTGGCAACTAGAAGAGGATATTCCATTTTCATACTATTAATATGAAAACGACACAGTCGCCGGTTGCAGCAACCGGAGACAAATTAAAAGAATAGTGTCATCGGTTGCGGCAATTCCAATTGTATTATAATAGAATACACAAGACACACGTTTGCGCCTTAGGAGTTGTGACGACACACTGCATTTTCAGTCACTTAAAAGAAGTTTCTTATCTTTGAGAATGGGTTGGTCATACCCATATAAGTTTCAATGGTGGCTTAGATTATTCAGGTACACAGTAACTTTGATTTAATATATTGTGTTAAAGATTAGCTCTGTAAAGAATCCAATGCTAATATTTATAAAACGAACTTTGATTTCGACCAAGCAAAGATGGCGAGCTAAGCAAGTTTTTCATAATTACAAAATGAACATTGCCTAAATTTAAACAAGATTTCAAATTAAACAGAGTTTACTTCGTAATTTGTTGTTTAAACTTAGGCAAAGTTAATTACGTAAATACGAAAATTTCTGTGTGAAAAAAGGTACCTGGCTGCATGAATGAAAAAATTTCATAGATTTCTCACAGATGGCGCTACGGCAAAAAGTCGTTAAAAACCAAAAACAGATCTGCAACAAGCACGTAGAAAAATTCGTAAGGTTCGTTCCGTAGCCCAATCGGGAAAGCGTCGACTGGGTATGTTGAAGACGCTGTTTCGAATCCAGCCGGATTCGTGTGTTAGATCTTTGTATCAATAATTATAACAAACTAGTGGAGTAATTTCACAAAAAAGAAAAAATATCGTGGTAGTAAAAAATCGTAATGTTCAATAAACATAATATTATGAAAAACTTGTTTATCTCGCTATTTTTGGTAAAGTCTGAAATAACATTAAACAATTAGGTATATGAATCACATTTCAAGCTCAACCAAGCATGAACATTTATAAGTATTTTCTTTTATATAATATACTGGTTAAAATACTTTACAATAATAGCTGTTGCTAGTGACTGTTTATATTTATATGGCAAAATTGTGCAGTGTGAACCTTAAGATGACTACTACAAGTAGAATTTTGTATACAATATTTTATGCGGCCCCTAGAGACAATGGCCACTTTAAACTCATGGTAGAGGTGCTATTTAGGGACTTTAAATCTGTCAAAGAGAATGACTGGGAACAAGAATATTGTGTAGAAGCAGTTACTTCCTAGGTAGCGAAGTCTCCATCCTCTCCGTAATAAATCTGACAACACTGATCATGTTAAACATTTTACATTTCTTTATACTATTACATGAGGTGAACAATCACATCAACCAAGTTGATAGTGATGTATCAATGCTGTCCTCTGACCACTTAACTTGAAAATAAATCCGTTATTCAGTGAAGTGTCATATACCTTTACATATTGTAATGAATTTGTTTCAAAAACATCATACTTAACTTCAGACTAGTAGTAGGTGACTTGAAACACTCACGCTATAAGGAAGAGTGCGAGTAGCTTATAGGGCCAAACTATAAATATGTGCTTTTATTAAACTCCACAAAAGGTTTGTGCTAAGTTGTCACTTAGACTAAATTCAATGTTTGTAGACAGTTTGTGCCTGAAAAAAGGCACCATCTGCCTGAGTGGCTTGTCGGTTAATCTGCTTGTGTCTGTCCCGGGACACAATCTCTTCTAACACCTCTCCGTCACCTTTTATTAACCTGAAATCAGGATACAACTGAGGCACAGCAAAACTAGCAATAATAAAAACTGCTAAGTAATTATCAACCAGTCACACATCCTAAACATGTGGTGTCTATAACTATTTTTTAGAGTCCCAGAGCCACACGGTTTCTCTGAAGCACAGCTGTGGTTTCATTGTAAGAAAATTAATATATAAAAAGTCCTTTTTTTTAACACAATTGTTAAGGACACTGTCTGTATCTACGATGTGTGTCAGGTTATTGATAAGCTATTATGTATAATGCTTTCATTTTGAGAAACATATGTTATAATTCTTTGATTACAAATAATATTAATAACTAACACATTTCATGAGTACAAAAATACAAAGAGATCATAAATGTTTTTGCAAATTGAGTTTTTCAAAAAACAAGAGAGATAGGATAACCTGTATCGTCCACTCTCCTCGTCCAGAACCCTTCGTACGATGCTCTGCCGCTTCTCCCACTCTTCTTTGGTCATTGGTGCCATTGCTTTAGATTTTTCCATTAATTCTGTTAAAAGAAAACAATAAATACACCTAATCTATAAAAGAACAATTGCTTGCATGAAAATATTATATAAATACAATTAACACCGTTTGCGATCAATAGAACCACAAACCTTAAGTTTTAAGGTGAAATAGGGCAAGAAACGGTTAAATAAGTAACATACCGAGGGGTATATCAGCGGCCTCGTCAGCCCCTTTCTTGAAGGCGTCATCTCGACTGCAGCTGCTGCTTTTACTCCTCCTTTTCTTTTTGAGCTTCTTCTTTTCTTTTTTTAACTTCTTCTGGAGAGCTTTCTCCGTTTTCTTCTGCTCTTTTCTCAGTTTCTTTTTTAACTTACGAAGTTTCTTCTTTTCCCGAGTACAATCGGTGCTACTTGAACTAGAACTATCCTCAGACGATTCTGCAGATCGCTTACGTTTCTTAGATTTTTCTTTTCCCATTGTTTTAATTGAATAGTAAAATCAGCCGCAAAACAAAACAAGCTACACACCCGTCCCGCTATCAAACTTTGCAATCAATCGATCATCTGTCACTGTCATACATGACATAGAAAACTTTTTCTGATGATTTTTTTGCGGCTTAGAAAATAAGTATTTTGACTCCACTTTGCTAAAAAAAAATCTGAGAAACTACTAAAAAATAAGAACATAAAGATTTAAGTCTGTCTGTACGAACAAATATTGTTATTTGTTATATGATATACATAAAATTATATAAGTGCGCCAATACCGCGCTACAGCATATTTTACTAAAACAATCATAAATACATATCGTTTCTATTCTAAACATTGCGTTGGAAGTATTCGGGTGTAGTAAATTTATATTTAGGTATTCATTACATGCTAACAACATCACATACAAAATTATATTATTGTTTTCGCTATGCACATCAACAACAGGGCAACATAGTATTATTTGTGTATTGTTTACGCTGAATAAAGAGTTTTCATGTTTTGGATATGGAGATTACAGTTCAATTTTAATACATCCTGAAATGTTTTTAAGATTTAAGAAAAAATGCGACTCATGTCGTCTCCCCAGTTTTATTTTTAGTCAGTTTATATCATTGTTTCAACTAATTAAACTGTTGTGATTTGCTTATACATGTTATTCAGAACTTAAAAGTACAATTAATGCTAAATTTTCCATATTCTAGTATCCATCTATAATAATAATATGAAACATCGCACGCTCCAGAGGCGGAGCAACAATAAAATAGGGGTGAACTCATTAGAAAGTGAATGCACATAACGTGCACAATTATACCTACAGCTTGATTCATGATTGAACGGGGCTGGGAGTCCCAATGAATAATTGAAGGAGCGACCGCGCATGCGCGGGACTTCAGCCGTCGAACCGTGTCAGGCCCTGGCCAATATAGCTGATGTGCGATATTCCTTACAAAACCAGAGATTTTACGAAATGTTTGCGTACTCAATGTGGTAAATTCATAGAGAATTGAAGTGGAAGATGCAGGCTGGAGGGCCGGACAGCGCGGCAGTGTCAGAAGCGCCGAGCAGCGGAAGCGATGAGTCCGACTGTGAAACGCAGCCCGAGCACGACGCGGACGCGGCCCTCACTGAGGAATGGGCGTGCGAGCTGCTGGCCGGCGATGGAGTGGCCGGAGCTAATGAGGTCATTTTTCTTGTCACATTATTAATAATTATGATGTGCTTAATTAATTTACTGTACTTTTGAGCATATTTTCTACGATTCATTAATAATTTGGATATCGCGACGACGATACTGTAATTGTTACCAACCTACTGGTACCTATTACCCTACAGCTCTAACGGCTCTATGTATCACAGCATATTTATAAAAGATATTGTATAACTAAAGAATTACCTAGTTACCTAATAATTGTATACTTTAAAGTGATCTAAAGTGAAGGTGTTTTACAGGTATTTGTTAAATTTAAATCTCTTTGCCTAATTAAGGTTATAAATTATTAAATAATTCTGCAGGTGCACGTGGAGTCGCGTGCGGGTGTGGCGGGCGCGCTCAGCCGCGTGCTGGCGGTCACCGTGCACTATCAAGAAAATGGCGAGAGAAAAGCTATGCCACTCGTCGTGAAACTGCCTCCCAGAGATCCCTTCGGCCGTCTCTTCGTAGCTGAAGCCCAATTCGACACTAGAGAAATCCTATTCTACACTGAACTAGCGCCGGCACTTAATAGGCTCGCTGAGGAAGCTCTAGGACCTGGACAAGGGTTGCCTGTACCAAGATGCATCAAGGCTAGATTACCTGGTACTGACCTAATTTAATCTATTAGGTACTGACATCAATCTTAAAATGATAGAATTGAACCGCTTACAATTTTACTCTTTCGTCTAAATAAAATAATACGTCCAGTTCCGAATACTATATAGACAATGCAGTTAATATAAATAATGTTTTTTTTAATGGAACAGTGTAGGCACAGTATAGGGTGGTACAGGGAAGATATTGTAATACTGTGGTATGGGCAAATCCGAAACCATAGAAGATACAAGGAAACTGAAAAATAGGAACTATTAAGTCTTTTTTTTTGTGAAAACAATTTTGGCATAGTAAATTTTTTGTCAAGCGTGAAATGTCTATAAAAATGAATAAAATTTATCAAAAATTTTTTCAGTACTGATAGACTCAGTTTTATATAAAGATCATTTAATTGTATGAGACGAAAAAAAATCAGGACAGCAGAAGTTGGTAAAATTTCATACGTTTTTCATACAACATGAATAAAATTGACTAACTTTTTTTTTAATACTGATAAATCTTCTTATACGGATGATTTCATTGCATGTGGCGAAAAAAATGAGGAGAGAAGCAGTTGATCAAATTGAATGAAATGATTTTTTATACAAAATTACTAACATTTTATAAAAATTATTAAACAAAGATCAAAGAAAATTTGAACGACTTAACAAAAGTTGACATAGCGTCTGGCACGGTTTGCTGGGAGACGTTGGTTGGAGTCCAATCGGATCGAAGTGAATTTAATAATTATTATATAGAACTTTATTTAATAATTATAAGAAACTAGTAGAGTTATTTCACAAAAAATCATTGAATATCACGGTGATGAAACATTCTGACATTCAATAAAACTTTACTAATATTTTATTAAATTTAATTTAATTTTAAACCTTAAACTTAATTGGAACCAAAATTGAATTTTAAAACAAGACGTAAATCAAACAGTCGTTAAAACCTAAAACATGCTCTCCTGAAAGATTTTTCGAAATGACGCTTTCGCCCTTTCTACAAAACACTGAAATAATATTACTCGTATATAGATTCGTATCCGGCTAATTTTCCTCATCGAAAATACATTATAAGTGTTAAGGATCTCGATTCCCTACGAACTATAGTTAAGACCATCATTTAGTGAAATCAAGTTCTAAAAGTTGCTTCCACATCTACGTGATCGAAGTATATGTATAGCCTACTAAGTGTAAGTGTAAGCAAAACAAAATGGGTATTAGGGACTAAATAATAGGTTTCAAATTATGTTGCAGATGAGATCGGTGGAGACAGCGAACTTGTTCTCGAGGATGTGACTGCTGTGGGATACGAAGCGGCTGACTTCGCGGAAGGTCTGACAGAAGCGCGCGCTAGAGCCGCTCTCCATGCGGCTGCAAGACTTCATGCTCTCTCATTGGCTATGCGTGACCGGGAAGGCCCTCTTGACCAGAGATTCGACTTTCTATTTCCATGTGAACGAGCTGCAGCTGGTTACCTACGGCTCGTAAGACGAGGTCTCCCGCAACTTGAAGCATTCCTTCGTGGAAAACCAGAGTGTGTGGTAGAAGCAGCGGCTGTGTCAGCCCTCAGCGCCCGTGCCCCATCTCTGCTAGGCACACTTCTTCGCCCTGCGGAACCAGCACCTCTAGCACATGCTGATTTTTGGAGCGGCAACCTTCTGTTTAGGGAAAATGAAGGAGTTAGTGAGTGTATAGCTTTGGATTGGCAAATGGTGTCGCTCGGTCGGCCTATGGATGACGTCGCGTTGTTGATGCTCTCGTCCTTGACTCCAGAAATGAGAAGAGCAGTAGGAGATTCTTTGATTGAGGACTATGGGGACAGGTTGGAAGCGGAGAGTGCGAGATTGGGTTGTGCGTCCGCGGCGGCTGTGGTGCGCCGAAATTTGAAGCCTGACTGGCCGCGTGCCGCGTTGCGCGCTCTACTGCTGTGCGCAGGCAGTGTCGACGTCGCGCTCGGCGAACCACGAGCCGAACGCCGTCTTCTCGAGGCTGTCAGAGACCTACACGAACAAGGTGTCCTTGCTCTAAAACCCGACACAGAAACGTGAAAAACCCAGTGCCAAACGATCGACTGTTAATTATTTTTTAATGTTGTGTCTAGCGCATAACGTTTTATTTTGATGTATTTTACGCACAAATTACGTTGTAGTTGTGTGTTTTAATTATTGAAAATTTTATTATTCGTCTTAGTTCACAACGATAGGATCGACTAGCGGATGCGGCGATTAAAGCCTAATCAAAGACTGAATTTACGACGTATAATCTACATCTTGCGTATAAGCTACGCGTTGTATAGGTATGTAATGTACTACTGTAGGGAATAATTTATTGCTCATCGTATTGGACGCTAGAAACAAATTAATTGCGGTCTATTGACTATTATTTAAAAGGAAAGTAAATTATCCAGAACATTTTTGTTGTTTCATTCGGTCAATAAAAAAAATCCATAAGTGTAAATCGACACCAGAGCGAAACCACTACATGTAAAGGAATTTCGATTTTCGAAGTATATGTGGAGACCTTAGGTCTAAAGTGGAGACGTTTATTATAGTTATGGTCTTGATTGTGCGCTCTTTGAGTATATATAAGGTTTTCGCACAGTAGAACAACGAGAGCATTCTTGTACATAATTATCATCTTCATTCACAGTTTGTCTTCATATTCACTCACTGCTGGGTAATAGGTGTACCGTAGTTTGTGCCATGCCGTCATCACAATTGTGCGCTAGTGTCACTCGTCTTTACTATAATAACAATATAATAACTAATAAATAATAAAAGGAAAAAATAGTGGGAATTTGAAATGACAGGATGCTAAAAGATCTAAAATTATCAATTAAACGTCACACGTAAAAACGTAATTCAACGTCTTTTATTAGCAAATGAACCAAGCAAGTAAATTAGGTGAAAGAGATAACATGAATAATGACTTCCGCGTTACTGAAAAGACTTTTTAAAAACGCAGAATTCTTTTTGCCATTCTATAAGTTTACTTTATTATAAGCACAATAGAAAATATTTATTGTAGAACCGAAACTAAATGAAGATATGGCTCAAAAGCTTATATCCAAGCCAAAAACCCTAATAAAAGAACAATAAAAGTATTTCTAAACAAAACATTAGTCTTATGTTTCTGAACCGATGCTGTAACTGTCAATAATGTAAGTAAATGTCAAGTCTAGCGCTGACCTTCGAGCTTCGTTCATAAATATTTGGAAATGATCGTTTTTTATCAAAACTCTTAATCATTAGTACACCTGCCGCTTGACAAATCCGTAACGATGGCTCAGCCGAGCCAAGTGACGCTGGAAATCGACGAGGAGGCTCCAGCTGAGGGTACACCAAGGAACAATGTACTTCATCGACTGGACTCAGTTCCCAGGCCAGTAACTGCGAATAGAAACAACCTGGGCTTCGGAGATCGCCTTAATAGTGTCTTCAGAGAAATAAGGCCGCTTGTGGAACATGCTCGAATGGTAAACTATTGATAACTACGTAATAACAGCTTAGGAATAAATAACTTTAGGACCACATATTTTAGCATTTTAACCAACTTGCAGGGCCTAATTTCTTTGCTAACTATATTTTTAACATTTTACATTAAGTACAAATCCATATATTTTCTAAGTGAAGCTTTACTAAACATATGGATTGTAAAAAAATGTTATTTGGTTTTTTGTAGTTATGCAATTTAATAACATTAGTCATTAACACTCTGTGACGTTATAAGTGTGTTATCAGTTGCGGTAGCATGGTAATGGCGCCATTCATAAAAGAATAAGCAACATTTTTTAGACCATATTCTTTAGTAGCCGTACAAACTCATTGTGAAAGAGTTCATCTAGGGAAATACTGCTGCCTTATCTATTTCTACTGTCAATCAGTAATGTAAGCATTACTATGTTTCGGTTGGAAGGGTAAAGGTGCTGGTGAAATTACAGGTACATAGGACTTGTTAACTAATGTATCAGGGTGATGGGCACAATGCCATTAAGATCTTTCTGATTTAAAGCTAATGAGTAGCACTGTAACTGTTATGGATAGGTGTGATGCTGACCACCAGGTGTACAAGTTGTTTGTCCTGTCACTTGGTATTGTAAAAAAGTACATATGACTAAGTTTGTAATAAGCACCAAAAATTGGATATAGTGATATTAGTAAGTGTTAAATAAACAAAAATAGACTATTCAATTTTAAAACAGAATTGGAATTGGTATAATTTATTTAATTGATTATAATAATGTTTCTACTTCATTATTTTTTGAAAAACTACTCCACTGGTTTTTGTTGTTATTATTGATACAAACATCATTAGTCATAGATTTCTCACACAGAAGGAGCTATAGCAAAATATTTGATAATACAAAAAACAAAGATCTGCAACTGGCTCATGGAGAAATTCATAAGGTCTGCTGACTTGCACTGTAATTTTTCTTTGTGTTCATTTGATCTTTTTTTTTGTATCACTAATAACCAGTGATCGGAATTGAGGGAGTTTTTATACAGAAACTTTGAGCAACGTTAAGAATAATGTGGACATTCCCTTTTACAAATCCCGGTACTAACCGGAATAGATTTTTTGTTTTAAATTATTTTTAATGATTGCTGCGGAAAGATTAGACTTAAATAAACACTTTTTGTTCTTATTAATTTTTCTCAGCAAGCGATAGTTTTCGAGTAAATGAAGGAGAAAAAATTTATTTACCAAGACTACTGGAGTTAAAAAATTCCGATAGATTTTTTTTTTGTTTTAAGTTGTCTAATGATTGTTTTGGATAGATAAGACATAAATAAATACTTTTTGTTCTTATAATTTTTACTCTGCAGGTTATAGTTTTTGAGTAAATTAAGAAGAAAAAATTAATTTACCAAGGTTAGGACTTAGCGAGCGGCTGGTGAGTGCCTAAAACGAATTTAATAATAATTTCAGAGCCAGTCCAGTAAAAAAAGTAAAGACGTTTAAATACTTTCTTGAAATAGTTATTTATCTGCATAAAAAAAAATATATTCAACACAAGCGTGGCTATTTTGCATGGTTTAACTGTCACTGGGTTAGCGGAGTAGCAAATTAATTAACTTACATTTTCATCAACATGGACTTCTGCAAAGTAACGCCTGAATCTATTAATTATCTACAAATAATTTATAGATTCAGGCGTTACTTTGCTGGAAATTCATTTTTATTAGTATCTTTAGTTTCGTCTATAAAAAGTTGGACTTGGGAATAATTAATACAAAATAAAATAATAAAATTATATATATTTAAAATATATTTTACTCATGTCTCATTTATAAAAATAAAATATAGCTTAACAAAAAATCGAAATCAACTGTAATAAAAGTCAGGAACATATTTAAAGAGGATATCGACACCCTAGGCGCAAACCACACAAACTGGACAAAACACACATGACGGCAATAGAGCACGTGCGCTGAAATGGCGGATCACTCCTCACGCATTTTTAATTTGCTCCTTATTTCGATAAGCATGAAATTTGAATCGATCGAGAAGACGCACGCGCCATGCCAGCGTTAGAAGCCAGTTCTGTATGGCTTGCGCTAGGGGTAAATGCTTCAAAGAGGAAAAATTATCATTCTTCCTGTACTAGATCTGTTTCCCTTTCTTGTAAAGAATTGAAATAGATAATCATTATTTTTTCTATATTTTCTTCTTTAAGTCTATTTCTTTTTACATTTAATATCCACTTGAAGGTTGAGAAAGATCTCTCAACGTCCACAGACGTAAGAGGCGCAAATTTGAAAAAATTTTCGTAATCTGTTTCATTTCCCTTCACAATTTTTTCACCTATTTCTCTAATTACATCATAATCGGGATTTCGATCTAGTACTTTTTCTATCTTACTATTTATTAATTCGTTTGAGGTCCAACTTAAACAAGACCTGACTTTATCAAAAATTAAAAATGAATCAATTATTGATATTTTTTTTGTTTGTATTTCAGTAAGTGCTTCGTCTATTATTGTGAAATATTCATTAATAAAATTAAGCTCTGATACGATATTTTCATTTCGTATGACTCTTTTTGCTTTTTTAATTGATATAGACTCATTGCTGTTAAGACTGTTTAAAACATTCGATATTTCTCTAAAATGTGTAGCATAGTATGTTGCTGCCTTTAGCCACGTGCCCCACCTTGTAATTACAGGTTGTGGAGGCAGCGGCAAGTTTGGATACATGTTTTTTAAAATTCTGACCCGATTTGGGGATTTCAGAAATATCTTTTTGACATTGGATATTAAGGAATCAACATTCTCGTATTGTGAACGAATTTGTTCTGCCAATCGGTTAAGAGCATGAGCTAAACACGTTATATGAATAATGTTAGGAAAATCAATTTTTAATAGGCGTCCAGTTCGCAACATATATGCCACACTATCTGTGCATAACATTAACACATTACTTGTTTTCTCTTCAAATGATTCTCCCCACATATTTCTTAAAGATTCTATTACAAAATCGGACATAGTTATACTGTTCACTGTTTCTAGCATTTTACAAGCTATTAAATATGGTCTGGTAGCCACATTTTGTATAAGTGGCATCACCAATAAATTTACAACGTATCTTCCCAAAAAATCCGTGGATTCGTCAAGTGATAACCAAATCTTGTTGTTTCCGATTACATCGTAAGTAGCTTTTAATTGTGTTTGAAAAAATCTGTTAAAATATTGTTTCCGTAGCAATGATTCTGAAGGTACTGCCTTATTTGAGCAAGTACAACAACATTTTATACATATATACTTGTTGAAAAATTTTTGTAACGTTGGGTTACTCACTTGTGTCCAAGGTATGTTACATAATATTAAAAATTCTATTAAATCAAAATAAAACTCATCCGGGGTTCTTTTTCGTCGTCTTGTATGAAGTGCGTTTATGATGTGCCGATCTACGTTGCTTTTACGAGTAGCTTTTATGTGGGATTCACATATTGTACAAAATATGATACCACTTGCGGGATCGTAAACCAGTTCTGGGTAGTCGACAACCCAGCTATAAACCAGCTCTGATCTTGGTCTATTTTCCATAGTGATAATACCTAAAATAAAAAAAAGCTGCTAATGACCATGTCAAAACATTTTGAAACAGAGTTTTTAAAAGTACTTAATTATATAACTGCCTATTTCACAAAAATACATTTTAAACACATAGTTGGTAAATTAAGAGCCTGTTCTCTTAGGAGCGTTCGACGCGCGTTTTGCTAACGCGCGCTTAGAACTAGTCGAATTTTACTACTAAATAGCCGTATACATAGTTAAAAAGTACGTCTTAAGTTGCACTTTTAAGATCTTTTACGAAGTTCGTAACTTTATTAGATTCAGCGTGCCTAATTTTTTTTGTTTTTTTTTCTCTCTAAAGCCCGCCGTTTTTGGAAAAGATATTTATATTATTATTGAGGTCTCATATTTTTCATTTCATCATAAAAATACCACACGCAAATATCGTAAAACTCAGAAGTTATATTCAATTATAATTTTTTTCAGGGTAGTCACTTTTATGAAGGTACTTTTATATCTGGATGTTATGAAACGAGATAGATCTTTTAAAAATAAAATTAATAATTTTCTTCTTTAACATGTAGAATTACACATTCTTCATAATCATTTTTTTAAGTTAAATAGGTATTCTACTGTACGGTATAGGTATTACTGAGGTCTTTTCTCGGAAATCTGCTTTTTATTCCAAAAACCTATAGGTGTAACGATTAAAAATTGCAGTGTTATAGAAAAAATATATAATTTTGTAATTTGTGTAATTTTTTTCTGGATAAATTAAAAGAAAAAAATTATACTAAAATTAAAAACATTATAAGTAAATATTACATACGTAGTTTAAATGTATCTGTTTATTAGCACATTTTTACGAACCTCGGTAACTTTATTAGATTCAGGGTGAATTACTATTTTTAAATATTTATTTTAATTTTTTATCTCTAAAACTCTGCCGTATTTTCCCACTTTTTTTAAATAATTCTAATTAAAAAGATTGTCTAACTAAAAATTCAACAATAAATAATAAAAAATTCATTCTTACCTTGCAAGTGAAATAAATATGAAGTCCAAGTCGCAGGTAAAAGCTGGTTCAGGGATTCGTAGCGTAAAGTCGTCGTTTTAAGTAAAATCAAAATCCAGATCGCAATGCAAATCAAAAACCGTTGTGAGATAGCCAAGTTGTCAGAAAATACAGAAAAACTCAAAATAACACCCGAACGCATGACAAGCACAACATCGAATAAGAACAATTACAAAAATTGTACTTAATGGGGTTACATGTAACTGCACGCAAGCAGGTATGTTGTCTCGTTCGCTCTTTTTTCCAGTTATCACTCAGACAATGAGATTAGCTTTAGAAACTAACAAAAAAAGATTTTTGTCTCACCACGCGGCACCCTTTGTCGCTTTCTTATCATCGCACGTTCTGGCACCACGCCGACATGGTGGTAACGTGGTCTTTTTAGATGGATTTGAATGGAGAAATTATGCTAGGTTCAATATTATCAGGCGTTTTTACTTGAATGTCAACAACAGGGATAATAAAGTTAACCCTCATA